ATATTGCAGATAATGAAATGTGATAAGAGAACACCGATTCTACGTTATCATAAATAATCAATTATAAAAACGTTATCATAAAAATTTGAATTTTTGAAAAGAATGTATGTTGTATAAGTATATTAGGCTAGGAATATTTGAGGAGAACCGTGTTTCTCAACGTGTATACAATGTCGCCTATTTTCTCCTGTCCTTAACCGCTAATGGTTAAACCTGAAAATATTTTTTTTTTTAACTGATTTAATTGCCAATGTATAGCCTCTACGTATATTGCCTATCCCAGTTCAATTAAATAATATTCTTCCTTTGTTAATGTTCAATCCATAACTAATTATAAAATGATATTTCTAATTCTATTTCTATTTATGATATTCTAAATTTAGGTGATCAAAATATATTCATCAAATTACTAAAATTATAAAAAAACATTTTTTATATGATTAATATGCATGTTCCATTTGAGTTGATCAACATAAACTCCTTAATAACCTTGATAACTTCTAGATATTTTATAGAACTGACTTTTTTTTAAACAAATTTTTGATTATTTTTAAGATCAGAGGATACAGTATTATCTACAACATTATATTTTGTTTATCTAAAATTAAAGTGTATCATCTATTTTAACCATTTGGGTTTTTATTATTTTACTCGTAAAATATGATTTAAATCAAATCGATGGAACTCCTCCAATACCACAGATCTGTTTTTTTTTTTTTTTTTTGTAATATTTTTGTCTATGGAATGAAAAGCCTTCTTTATATTGATAAATATTCCCAAAACTTTATTATCAATATTAATATTCTCATAATTTTATTTTCTGACATTAAACATAGAATGGTTGGTAGATAATTCCTTTCTAAAGCCAAACTCATTACTACTAAAAAAATTGTTCATATCTAAAAATTTAATTAATCTGTATTTTATACATTTTTCATAGATTTTACTAATTGATAATGTCAAAACAATTGGTCTGTAATTCTTTGGTTGAGAGCCAAAAGATGATTTGTACAAAAATGAACTTTTCAGAAGAGCAATTTAAAAATTTCAGTAAACTATAAAAAAAAATCATTTTAATTTTATGAATCACTGTTTTGTACTACAAATAATATTTTTATTATACTTTGTAGAACATTTACATATAATACTAATTATGTTATAAACCATTATGATTTATTATTTTGTTAAATTAAACATACAATATAAGTATGATTATTTATATCATATAAGTACATAAACATCACTAAAAATGTATATTACACAATGTTTTTAAAGGAATGTACAATAATATATTATTCCAAATTTCTCGAGTAAAATTAGTATAAGGGTGCGTGATTATTGATTAATATAATCCAATATTGCGGGTATATGCTAAAATATTCTTTAATATGTACCATAAACTTAAATATTCTGAATTATTCTCTTAAGTCAAAATATGCACTAGTGTGCAAAAAAAAAAGATTTTTTGATAGATTCTAGAGGTTTGAAAAGCAAACATTTTTTACTCCTACCAAACAGCATATACTTGTTACAAATATGTTTTTGCATAAAAATCAGTACTCTACTTTTAATTTTTATTATTGATTTACGTTCTCTAAGTTTAAGATTTTAAGTTCGAATTTTATTTAAAAAAAACTTGGAAAACGATGAAAAAATGGAAAATGTACCATTGAATATTAGATTTCATTTTTAATTGATTTCGATACTTACATAAGAAAAATAAAAGTTACACAAAGAAAAGTTTCCTCATGCATTTTTCAATATTTCGACATTTTTTGGATTTTTTTTTTAAATAACTGTGTGTGCGCGTGTGTGTGAATTTGCTGGTGGTCGGTTGACGGTAGTTACACAAATCGATAATTAGACTGTGAGAGGTAGGTATAATAATATGGTTTAATGAAATATTTAGTGAGTATGTTGGTCACTCTGCGCGCTTTACACCACGGTAGATTTCGGTTGATGCACATACCTTGTTTTGTACACCATTTCAATGTGATATCCATATGGACTACAGGTACTTCACAGGTCACCAAGAAACGTGATAATTAACAATTTGTTCACCATATTTTATCACATTAATTTTTCTTGAGAACTTGGTATATTGTAAATATACTATTAATTTTGTAGGTTAGGTAAGTTTACAAAAGAAAACCGCGAATAATATAATGTTATTTAAATTTAGTCATGGTTATTTAGAAAACTATAATATTAGCACTGACAAAATGTTGAATATGACAATCGGACAAAAACAGAATACAAGTATATGTACTTTATCGTGTCGCAAATATAATGTTATATATTATGAATAGTTTAAAATTTATTGTTATTGTTATTATTTGTCCAAGCATTTCGTTAAATATGTGATGACATATTTATTATTAGAAATCAGAATATTACGAATACCAAATAAAGGTTTACAGACGGAAATTATTAATTATAAAACATGTGCAGTTCATTTTTTAAAATATAGGTAAACATGTATTGCATTAAAAGGGTTAAAAGTTATACACTAATATGTTTAAGTAAAATGTACCAACTGATTATTATTCATATAGTACATCTAATAGTAACAGAAACAATGTTCAAAGATGGCATGTAAGACCTATTTTCAAAGAACGCAGACATTTGGATCATTACACTACATTTATAAAGGAATATCAACTAAACAACCCTACCATGTTTATCAATTTTATGCGCATAAGCCCATCAAATTTTGAAGATTTAGTTAGTTTAGTTGCTCCTTTACTTTACAGACATGCATATAGATCTGCAGTGTCGGACTGGATAAAAAAGACTCAGTCCGCGATTTGAAAAAAAAGGCCCCTCCCCAACAGGCAAATGTTTTGGTTAACACAAAAAGAAAAATCTCGCTTCGTTCGCAATCGAATTTTTATGTACACAGGTAATACATTTTTTTTTTTTGATTACAAATCTTGTATATTTATCATATAGGCACAAATAACTAAATACGCACCTAACTAAAATTTCACGATTCGCGGCTTATTTACTGGTTTTACTCTATTTTCAAAAGATTTTCTCAAATGCTAAGATATTTTCTGGTCTTAAGTAAATTAGAATAATTAGTAATATCAGTATTCATTCAAGTAGCTAAATAATGACAAGAGGCCCATCAGACTGTTTTCATTATCAGACAGGGCAAATCCCTTCTATCCAGGCATCCAGCCCCTAAATATTTATATTGGTAATATAGAAATACATTATATTAATACATAGGTATATTAAATCGTAATTAATCATAGATTTTAGATAGATTGTATATTATTTTTTAAGGGAAGTTTGGTAGATTTGCTTCTAAAATTAAAAGTTCAATTACAATTGACAGCCAAAAAAAACTGCTAGATAAATCGTAGGTATACCGTACAAAGAATAAATAGTTATTACTGTAATACGTATCACAATATTAATTACAAATTATGTTTGTATAGTGACTATAATAATATAATATACGCGTCAAAATGATAGAGAAAAAACAGCGTGGATCATTGTCTAATATTTTTAACTACATTACAAAATAAAATTAAATATTTTTAACTTTCGCGCTTGTTGAAAAACTAAGTTTTTTTTTTTACTTTTGTCAGAGGCACATTCAAGCAATTTTTGCATTTCTTTCTTTTTTATTTTTTTCTGAACCAGCTTTGTATTTTCTTTTGTACATCATGAATCACGATTAAAATTATAACGGTTAAAAGTTTCAACTTACAAGACGACAGACAAGTCAATAGACGACAAAATATTGTATAAACATTTTTAATTTAATTTTGACGCTATGAAAACCAATAATCCATATTATAAACAAAATAAATGAACGATGACCGTTTTTAATTATTCTTGTAATTCGTATCATACTATCACTATATATAATATTAATAATTATTTATCATAGATTAGAATTCCAATTGTAATAATTCAATTAAAATCAGTAATTAGTAGATATCCTTATCCATGGTAATAATACCAAGTCATAAGCAGCACAAAACCGTATATATGTAATATTAATATAATAATATGTATGACCAATGAAACATTATATAGCAGTAGCTATTAGATCCTTCCCATGATCCAATGATTATGTCAGTATTTTAATAATTTATTGAGAACTTCTCAAGATTGTAACAAATACTGAAAAAAAAAAATGTTTATTTCGTATTTCTATTTACTATGGACGAATAATAATAATATTAATAAGTATAAAATCGGTGGCTCCGAATTACCATATTAAGGCCGGGGTCCCATCTAGTGGTCCGGGCCAGTCCGACTCTGTAAGTCTGATATTCAGATAAAAATAGGTATTTGTTTCCAATATTACCAAAATGACTTATGTATTCCGTTTTTTACATAGCCATTTTGAGTCAATATATTAATACATAGGGATCTCATCATTCCTAATATTTAAATTTGATTTTCCACAAGCGTTTACCAAAATTTTAAGAATTTTTTCATTTATGGGAAATTTAAAGAAACGGCCGTGAATTGGTGTTTATAATTTTGGAATTTGGCTACCACTTTTACATGTCACTTAAGAGCATCAGGGCAGTTTTCTATGTGATATTTACATTAAGTACACAGAAATAAAAAAAAATATGAACATACGGTATATATATGGAATATATTTATTCTATTAGAAAATAAATGAGAAAGGAATAATATATAGATCGTAGAAAGATACTAACCATATAATTACTTTTAATAATAACTCAATAATATAATAATATTTAATAATAATATTATTTCATTAAACCATATTATTGTACCTACCTCTCCCAGTCAAATAGTCGATTTGTGTAACTACCGACGACCGACCACCAGTAAATTCACACACACAGTTATTTAAAAAAAAATCCAAAAAATGTCGAAAAATCGAAAAACGCATGTGGTAACTTTTCTTTGTGTAACTTTTCTTTTTCTTATGTAAGTATCGAAATCAATTAAAAATGAAATCTAATATTCAATGGTATTTCCATCTTTTATTATCTCTTATATCGTGATCTCTTATCACATTTCATTACCCTCGACAAGTGACGTACTGTACATGCGCAATACGCATTTAACCGCTATGTAACCACAAGATTCAGATAATCATAGCAGTGAATTTTGTTTTTGGAAGTCACGTTTCACGGTGATCTGTAAAGACGTTTATTTCGTTTATTTTTATTTAAAATCCTGAGATCAACCCAAAATGGCGTTACACGTTCCGAAAGCTCCGGGTTTCCAACAAATGTTAAAGGATGGTGCCATGGTAAGTATTCTATGAAAACAACTTGGTACAGGTGTAGTTTACTGACTTTTCGGTATTGTCGAATCGTTCTAGCATCTTTCCGGTCTCGAAGAAGCGGTGTACCGTAATATCGCAGCCTGCAAACAATTCTCCGACACCGTTAAGACAGCATATGGCCCGAATGGCATGAACAAAATAGTAATAAACCACATTGACAAATTATTTATTACCAATGACGCTGCCACCATCGTCAAAGAGCTTGATGTAAGTGTTTTTTAAATTTCTATTACTGAAAAGCCAATAACTTTTTTTTTTTATAATTCAACTTTGTACAGATTGAACATCCGGCAGCTAAAATCATTGTGTTCGCATCCGAGATACAAGAACAAGAAGTTGGCGATGGAACTAACTTTGTTGTAATTTTTGCTGGAGCACTGCTGGAACAGGCCGAACATTTATTGAAGATGGTTTGTACAACTGGTGTTTTTTAAATATTTGTATTAATTATTCATCTCAGCAGTACTTAATTTACATTTTATTGTAGGGTTTAACTCCAGTTGAGGTATGCGAAGGTTTCCAGATAGCTCTAGAAAAAACTCTTGAATTATTACCTACACTGACTTATCATGAAATCAAAGATATCAAGAATAATGCTGAACAACAAGTAATAATGCAAGCTGTAAAGTCTTCCATTATGAGCAAACAATATGGCCAAGAGCAGTTCATCACAGATCTAGTTCTAAAAGCATGTTGTAAGTATGCTTAATATTGTTTAAAAACGTGTTTAAGGAAATTGCTGATGGTGTATATTTATGTCGATTTAGACTTTGAATCCAGACAAAGCTATAGAAATTGTAGATAGATTAAAATTTTGAAAACAAATTATGATTCTTTTAGTTGAAAATAAAAATTGAATTATTTTATTGAAAATCCTGAAAAAACATGCTTTTCAAAAATGTACTTTGCCTTTTACCTGTGATAAAGAAAATTAAAAGTAAAAATAATTCTATTGTTTCCTAGTGAGAAACTCGAAAAATTCTAAAAAGTTTTTAATATTGAAATCTATCAAATGCATTTGCTATAATTTTGCTGGTTTTTCGGTCTAAAATGTTTTATAGGTCACCAAAGCTTCAGCTTTCTCTTTAATTATTTTAGGAAATGATTACGAATATAATTTTTTTTTTTTTGTTTAGCTTCAATTCTTCCAGAGAAAACTACATTCAATGTTGATAATATAAGAGTTTGCAAAATTTTGGTAATTATAAAATTATTCAATAATATATATATTTATGAAATTTGATTATATAATACATTTTTAGTCAGATAAATCAAAAAAAAAGTATACAATTTTTTTTTTACAAACATCTCAACATACCTAAATAGTGTACTAAAGTAGAAAACCAAAATTAATTTTCGTTTTAAACTACAAACTATGATAATTTGTAACTATACATAAGTTGGATGTTTACAGTTTCACTGATTCATCACATTACCTTTCAAATGCTCTTTCTCGTTTTACATAGCTAGGATTTATACTGGCGTATGAGATTTGAGTGTATATATGTGTGTGTGATAAGTTAGGTTAGATAGGTTTGGATAAGTGGATAGGATAGGGTATAATATCGGAAGTCCCTTACATTCAATATGTGTTGCAGGTGATCATAAAAAAAAATGAATAATATCTCTTATTTTGTAATTGTTACTTTTTCCTAAGGGTTCGAATTTGTACAATTCATCTGTTGTAAATGGTATGGTATTCAAACGTACAAATGAAGGAGACATCACTAAACAGACAAATGCCAAGATCGCTGTATACACATGCCCTATTGACATTACTACGACCGAGACAAAAGTATAATAAACAATATTTAAACACAAACTATCAGTTTTATGTTTTTTTTTTTTTTTATTATTATTCTTATTATTTTTTTAGGGAACAGTTTTAATAAAGTCTGCTGATGAATTACAAAACTTTAGCCGCGGTGAAGAAATGGTGCTTGAAGAACAAATCAAAGCAATCGCCGATGCTGGTGTCACTGTAATAGTCGCCAGTGGGAAATTTGGCGACATGGCTCTACATTATTTGAATAAATACAAAATTATGGGTGTTCGTTTAATGAGTAAATTTGATTTAAGACGATTGTGCAAATCAGTTTCAGCCACAGCATTACCCAGACTTGTAAGTATTCTAGTTCTGATCTGAAATCTTAATTATATTTAGCCAATATGTTGTTTGGTTTTATGGGTTTCCAAAAGAAATTTAAACAACTAATTGAATTTAAGTATCTGTTATGATATACCTTTTCTCCTACATCAAAGCACTTATTGTAATGCTCACTCTTATCATTTTTAAATATAATTTTATTTTTCTTTTGATTTTTTTCTGTATAGAAAAACGAGTTATTGTTATTTTTCATATTTGTAACAATGACAATAGCTTTTTGAATCAATTTAGATAATATTCTATTAACTCTTTTTTGAGTCTAGCAGATAAAATTATTAACCTAATTGTTCTACAGTTTAGTATTATAATAAAAAAAAAACAATGTATACATATAGCATTTATAACTTCTCCAAGTAACCCTAAATTGTTTAATATAGGGGCATTAGATGGTTTTATTGTTTTTTAAAGTTAACTAATAGTTAGAGACATTTATTTAGACACCTCCAAATAAAGAAGAAATTGGTTATGCTGACTGTGTATATGTAGATGAGCTTGGAGACACTTCATTAGTCGTATTCCGTTTAGATGGTAAGGACTCTCGCATGTCTACAATTGTTGTACGTGGTGCCACCGACAACTACATGGATGATATCGAAAGAGCTATTGATGATGGAGTAAACACATTCAAAGGAATAACAAGGGTATGTTTTGAAAAACTTGTGTACAAATATCAATACTTAAATGATATTTTCTTATTGAAAATAATTGATTTAATTTTCTAATTCTAAGTCTGTAAATTTCAATGGGAAAAAGTAGTTTTCGTCACTTGTTAATTTTGTTACGCATATTTTAACATTTTAGTGCATATAAATCCGCGCTTTACTCATAATCAATAACACTTGATCAGTAACACACTTGTGTATTGGAAATATCCTCGGTATTTAAATATTTTAAATTTCTCATATAGGATGGAAGATTACTACCTGGAGCTGGGGCCATTGAAATGGAACTCGCTTACCAAGTCGGTTTATATGCTGATACGTTACCCGGACTAGAACAATACGGTGCTAAACGATTTGCAAACGCTTTGGAAGGTTTTATTAAAATTCTGGCCGACAACACTGGTGTAAAATCCAACGAAACTCTTGCTGAACTCTATTCTCAGCACAGTAAAGGCAATAAAAATGCCGGTTTTAACATTGAAGTATGTATATTGTGTGCTTTTTTTTTATTTTTAAAATTAATTTTCATTTAATTTTTAGCCAAAGGGATCGTCATTAATAGATTCCACCAAAGCTGGAATCTTCGATTCCTACCTCTCTAAGTTTTGGGGACTGCAATATGCAACACAAGCTGCGTGCACAATTCTAAAAGTTGATCAAATCATAATGGCCAAACGGGCAGGAGGTCCACAAGCGCCTGGTGGACGTGCACCTGACAACGATGATGATGCATAATTTTTCCAAATCTTTTCAATTATTTGCTTAACTAATTTCAAGTTACTAACTTAATTTAAAATTATAATAGTAATAATAATAATAATACTAAGCATATTTTTTACTTGCAATGTTAAGAATTCATTTTAAAAATTCTAATAAACCAATATATAAAATGGTCTTTAAACTTATTTAATTACCTTCAATATTTTTATTCTTTCTACAAATCCAATAATCCAATTGTATCTTGTAAGTTATATAAAAAAAAAAAAAATATTTTTTATATTAATTAATGAAAATTTGTATTTATTTTATAAAACATACATTTGTATATATTTTTTAATACGAAAATAATCTTAAATATAATAAGAAACAATTATACAAAAATTATAACTTGTGATATCAAAATTGTTAATTTATATTATCATTACAATTTAAAAAAAAAAAAATTACACTGCACAGTGCACATATTATAATATTGTTTGCATTTTATTTTATTATAACTTTTGGTTTACATTCATTCTAAAAATAAACATACTTTATAATTTTTGAAGTAGTGTAAGCAATTTTATGAATTTCTCACATGTCTGTATGTACTCAATCTGTATATTTGGAATTTCAGTTTTTACTAAACGATTAGTCAAGCTCACCATTATAGATTCCATAATAACTATTTATTTTAGTTTATATTATATTATTCATTCTAGATTAGGCTTTATAGAAGGCCCCTAATGATTTTCATTCAGATTATAGGTATATACAACGTTTAAGCTATTTTTTGGTTTTTCCTTTTGTATCAGTTTATTTATGTTATATTATTAAATTTTACTGTTTCATAAAGAATATTTTTAAATATCAATTTTATAGAAATAGTTATTAAATAATTTAAATTGATTTTGATTAAAAAAAATACCACATTTTAGACTTCCATAATTAATTTACGATATTTCTTATGTGTAGAGCTTGAATTTATGCACCTACAAATTGTTAAATAATACACGTTTTTATTGATAGAATTGTATCACAACAATCTTAATTTTTAATTATATTAAATATTTATGATCACTAAATGTTCACCTAAGTAGATTTTTTTTAAAAATAAAAACTACAAATGGTTTATTATGACCTATATTTACACATTTCAATCTCTTTCAAGTATAACCATTTGAGATGGTTTTTATTTACAATATAATAAACTACAGTATACATATGTTTATGGAATGCGACTCAGTATACAGATATAATAACAAAAGTACAAAAAAAAAATTATTAAGACCATGGATGCCAATGCTTCTTGAAACCTTATAAAATAACAAGTACTATGAATTTTAATTTCAAACTTAAATTTATGTTTTCTTTAATATTATTTATTCAAAATTCGACAAAATAACATTGTTTAAAGCATCTCTGAAAGATATATTGTTAATTGGAAAAAAAAACATTTTTTTCCCATATTAAATATAATTGTTAATAGACTTGAAATAATTTTTGTTCTGTTCAATATTTTTAAGTTTTTTTCTTGCATTAATTTGTAGAGCCATGCACTATTTTCTTAAAAAATTTAAATTTTCAAATGATGAATTGTTCAGTTTCTACTTGGACGTTTACAAAAATTATTTTCCATGAAAAAACTAGTGAATCAAATAATTTTTTTTAATAGTGACTATGAAAACTATTTGAACTACTGTAAACTTCAAACAGTTTTTGAAAGTTAAGTTTTAGATTCAGAGTGATATTACCTAAAACTGCATTGTAATCATTTATTCCAAATGCATTATATTACAAAGAGAGGTACACTTAGATTCAATTGTATTATTATTAAAATTACTATCATGTATATAAAAAAAACACTTTACAATAAAAAATTGTATTAATGTACAACAGATATGTGGTGCTACCAAGTCTACTAATCAATCACTTTATTTTAAGTTCGTTTATTACATAGGTAACATTAATTAAGGCTATAATCACGGACTAAGATATCAATATAATAATGTTTAGTTTGATGCACGTCCAAAAATTGAATACCCAACTCAATTTAAACTAAACATTTCTATTTATTCGTGGACTCGATATGAAGGCTCACGATAACGACAAAAGCTGTCTCCACCATTTTGAAGTTAGGAGCTTTTTTACGTCTTATTTCGTGGTCGTAATCAACCATCGTGCCTACCTACCAGCGGTTACTATGTAATAATTATTGGAATAGATTACCTTTGTGTAGCTATTTATTGAGATTTTCTAAAAAAATGTTCAAATAGTATATCATGGGCGATAAATTCGCATAGTTTTTAACGGGGCATTTGTCCTAACTGAAAAAGTCTAACCCTCCAAGATAATCAAATATTTTAGTGAAAATTTAAAAAATAGCAAGTAGGTACCTATAGGTAACAGATAAAAACACCAGTTAGCAAAGCAACAGAACTCCGTTACTTTGCTGTCAAATTTCCCCCGTCTGTATGTATCGGATTTATCATTTTTTATCATTTCATGATATTAAAATTCCTTAGAAATACTGTAATAAGCTCAAATTATTTTCTTTGATCACTAACTACGATTTTTTATGAACCCCCTGTAAAATTTTCAATCATTTCTGTCAAGTTAACAATGTATCCGCCGAATAAAAACTACGTAAAAATGTCTATAAGTAGCTTAAAAATAATTCAAATGTTTCGAAAATATTATCACGTCTAGAAAAAGTAAGTGAATTTACTCAAAATTTCATATCTCTACGAACATTTTATTATGAATTACAACGAAATAACAAAATTTGAAGAAATAATAAAAGCATTATTTTCGAACGAATTCGCTTAAAATCCTCCGGGACACTAATATTATTGCTGGTTGGCGATGAAAACAAAAAAAAAAAAAAAAAAAATCCCATGTGTTGGTTACGTTGATTTATCGCGTTGGTAGGCAGGTGTACGTCTCGTAGCTCGGGCAACCGCGCGCATAAATATTATTGTTACACGCAGTCCGGGTGTTCAGTGTGTTCTTAGCGATTAAACGACGAAACGCGAACGGTTACGGTGCTGAAATTAATCGTCTACGTTTTCCTACGTCTCGCGAAACTCGCCAAAATATGAGGGAATTCGAGCGGCCGCGCTGGTCGCCGGATTCGCGTACGGCGCCCGCGGAAACGGTCGCGGCGCACGGATGACGACGACGAATACAAAGCGTACGGACGGACGCGACACCGGCCGTCCGTCGGAAATGGCAAGCGACGCGCGGAGCGTTCTCGCGAAAACAATACGGCCCGCCCGGCGGCGCACTACCGACGCGACGTCCCGGTCGGAAATAATCGCCGGTCATAACGTGCGTATAAATAATGCACTACGGGATTATGCGCCGTTTGAGAACACCAAACGAAAAACTAATGAAAAAAATATGAATACCCTTATTCGTACTCTTCTCTAACAGGCGACAGCGGTACCTATAGTATAGGTACTTGTCAAGCACGTATTCAGGATCAATTTTCGGGGGGGGGGGGTTAAAATATGTTTANAAAATATTTTCAATGAAATAAATGATTATATTATAAACTTTATGATAATAGTATACAGTACAAAATACAATATTATTAAATTATTAAATCAACCTCGCGTGGCATTTTGGAAAAAGTATTGATTATTTCTTCAATATTTATTGAGATACTCCGGTGGACTGACAATAAAGCTAAACCTGTTAGACGATCATCGCTGCAGCTATTCCTCAAATAGTTTTTTAATCGTCTTAAAGTTGAAAAAGTACGTTCTGCTGACGAAGTCGACACTGGGAGTGTTGCAAGTATGGATAGTAAACACCAAATGTTTGGATAAAGGCCCTTCGACATAGCGCTTAGAGTATCGATTGCAGATTTTGAAAGTTCTTTATCGGGTACTGATTTCCATTTTTCCATCCACACCTTCGATTCTGACTCAAAAGTGTCACAAGTCGGTAAAAAGCTTTTGTAAAAATCAATGCAATTTTTTAACTCATTGCTACTTGCATTTAATTTAATAAGATAACATGGAAAATTTCGGGGGGGTGTTTGAACCCCTAAAACCACCCCCTGGATACGGGCTTGGTACTTGTCCAACTAAAAAGAACATGCATGTACATTTACGAATAGTTTATTGATAATTAACAATCAAAAAAAAAAATGTAGTTTCATTAAAAAGTTAGTTTTCAGAAAAAAAACGAGTAACATAAGTAACGTATTGAAACAAATTCGTCGGACGGTTAAAAGAAAAACGTGAAAACGAAAGAACTGTGTTTTCATATCTAATAACGATGCGTACGATCCATTCGCTGGCCGGTTTCTCAACGACCTTGTGAAATAATCGTCTGGACCGGACGGGCCGGTTTCAATAGCATCCGTTGTGTATATATTCTGTTCGTAAGCCGATTCTCGACGATCTTCTAAAATAATCTTCCAAACCTACGATAATTCTCTGGCGCGCTCTCGTTTGGATCTCCCCGGCCGACGTTCTTCCGGCCGGCGTCCAAGAAGCGACCTTCGTTGCGCAGGCCGGAGAGGTGCCGACCCGAGGCGCGGACGGCGTTTTCCCGGGGCCACGGGGAGTGTTGTATTCCGATCGTTTTTGATGTTTCCGTGGGCCGGATCACAGCCTCGTTACCCCGTGATGACGACGGTGGCGTTTGCCCCACGGACCACGGGACGGTCCGTATCCCGGCGAGTCTTTGCCGCCGGGAAGGTCGTCCTCCAAGATCGACGATTTTTTCAAGATTTTCCAAGATTCCCACGGTGAGTGAAAAACCTTTTTAAAAACGAGACCGCCTTCATACAGTTGTTTGGAAACACATTCGTCCGTCTATGCGGTCTACACGCCGTCGGCTCATCGGAGTCAAAATTTTCACCGTTTTCATCGGATTCTGAGCGCCGTGGTTTTACCACAAACACAGATATTGAGGTGTAAACAATTTGTCCGCTATAAATCTCGTTCCGATCGAACAGAATACGAGAACTTTTTCGTAGCGTTTTGTTTGTCCGGTCGGTGTATCGTCATGTTTTAATATTCCTTGTAGTTTTCCTGTCACAGTTGTTCGCCTTTATTCGCAGTTACCGACTTGCGAAGGTTTTTCTGGGCATAGCCGATGATGTACAAAGAACAGGTACCTAGGTAGGGGGGGGGAGTATTCAGAATAGGTACTTTAGAAAAACAGTTAAAAAAATATTCCGAAAGTATTCTGAATATTTTACGAATACAATCTGAAAAAAAAGCGAATCGGTACGGGTTGGCCACTGATGTAGCAGACGATTTTTTGGATAGAGTTTATCAGTGTTAGCCTGCGAGCCAACGGCCGCGCCACTAGGCCGTGATTTCGGCCGGGGCCCTCGGTCGTATTTGTGCGTGGGAGCACCTATCGGACCCTTCACACTAGAAAAAATCGATATCGGGTCGAAATGGGGTATTTCCGAAACACCGATGATATATCTGCTGTTTTTCAGGTCCACGGAAAGGAGGACACCATCCCGGCGGCAAGGACTCGCTCGAATACGGACCGTCGTGTGGCCCGTGGAGAAGACGCCGCTGCGGCCATCACCGCCAGTGTGACGAGCTGTACGAAAAAAACCGAGACCGGCCGGAATACAACACTCCCCGTGGCCCCGGGAAAACGCCGTCCGCGCCACGGGTCGGCTTCTCTCCGGCCTACGCAGCGAGGATCGCTTCTTGGACGCCGGCCGGAAGAACGTCGGCCGAGTAGATCCAAACGAGAGCGCGTCAAAGAATTATCGTAGGTTTAGAAGATTATTTTAGAAGGTCGTTGAGAAACTGGCCAGCGAATGGAATACGCATTGTTATTAGGTATGAAAACACAGTTCTTCAGTTTTCACGTTTTTCGTTTAACCGTCCGACAAATTTGTTTCAATACGTTACTTATGTTACTCGTTTTTTTTTTGCATGTGTCATTCATTTTTTTTTTTTTTTTTTTGATTGTTAATTATCAATAAACTATTCGTAAATGTACCTGCATGTTCTTTTTAGTTGGACAAGTACCTATACTATAGGTACCGCTGTCGCCTGTTAGAGAAGAGTATGAATAAGGGTATTCATATTTTTTCGAGAAACAGTCAACACTGGAAATTATTGATTTTCTCTCGCAGCAGCTGGTGTGCAAAACATTCTCGCCAAAATGTTAAAAACAACGCATTACCTTTTTTTTTTTTTTTTTTTTTAATTTTTTTCCACTGTAGTATATTTTTGGCATTTTACAAACGTGTTTCAACGACCAACACCTACAATATGAACACGTGACTCGGGAATTATTTGGTTTTACAATATTGGCCAAAGTGTGCAGTTTTTTTTCTATATTAGAAATTACAAGCAATCTCGACATTGACAATCTCTTTTACCTACTTATAAGTTTTTTTTAAAAAAATATTATCAATCTAAGAAAAGAAAAACAATAACAATGGACACTTTTAACCGACCAGATTCACCTCAGGATTCGTTACTTCGCATTATAGATTACACAGAGGTAATAAGAACATTTAAAATAATGTTTCCGACATTAGACGATGACGTGATTGAAGCCGTTTTGAGCTGTAACAAGGGGGACGTTGATCTAACAGTGGACCAGTTGTTAACGATGAGTAGTGAATGCCAGACCGATTTGGTAACAAGAGGTTTGGTGTCATGCAATGATGATAGCGGTTTGCCAGATGCCAAGTCATCTCAACATGAGTTATTAGATCCAATGTAAATATTTGATTGCAATATTAAATTAATTTGTTAATTGATGGTCTATTTAAGGTTACCGGATGTCCTTCACAATCTTTGCATAAACGACAGACAGATTGGTTTCAAACGTTGGAATCCACCAATGCTCGGTCCTTTGCCCAATGATTTCCTGAGGTTAACTGCATCGAACCATTATTCACATGTAAACATTTATATGTATATAATATATACATTATACATATTTATTTTGTTTAGTATACCTTTTGAAATTGTATTACCTATAACAGGTTTCAGAGAGTGAACTCAATGACGAACAAATTGCAATTTTATTACAAAACGAAGAATTTCTCATACAGTTACGCAAAAATGAACATTTTCTTTCGACTTTAGAAAAAGGTGTGTTGATATATTATAATTTTTGTTTTGGAAAAATAGATTCATATATACTCTTACCTATATTATACTAAGCATGTATAAGTGCACTATTTGTGAATACAACATAATGATTTAGGGTATTTTATACTATGTTGTTTTAATAGATAGCCCTCTGGAAGAACAAAGGTTCTTTGTTGCAAATAACACATCAGGCGATGACGATGCGGCATTTAAAGAAAGGCTGAAAAATATGGGAAAGGGTATGAAAACCATAATTAATATTAAAAAGATTTATTGTATTGTGTACAAATTAGGAGCATTGTAGATAGTAGACCATCAGAAATAAATTAAATGTAACTAAAATAAATAATATCAATTTAATTAATGTTTGTTGAATTCAATCATATAGCTTCTAGGAAAAAATTTATCCAAATCGCACGGGTATTCACGGGTAAAAAGAAGAAGAGCACAGCACGCAATATTCTGAAACAAGGTGAAACTCATGCAAAAGACAATTTGTTCCTTCACGAAGAAGAACGTTGAACTAAAATAATATTACTACTATTACTACTATTGATGTTTAGCGAATAATAGCCCTTTCTTTTTATATTCAACCATGTTGTGTTATTTTTGTTTTGAATTGTTTAATAGAAATTGTTCAATAATAATAATGTAGATTAGACATAAATAAATAATTACCAATTTATTAAAACAAATTTAATTAAAATAGCAGTTGTTCTAAATAATTTTCAAAATCATCTTCTCTAGGTTTTTCATCTTCTATCTGTAATTGTTCACTCCATACATTATCTTCAATTGTTAGTTTTGAAGTAACTGGAGCATCTGCATTACTAGTTGAAGGCTGGTGATCAGGTGTTTTTTCATCTTTTGAACGCTTTGATCTGTGTTTATTGGATTTGGAAAATGTCCGTTTAACTTCTTTCTTTTTATGTTTGTAATTTAATTTTTTGGAGCACTGTGCACATAGCCCTTAAAAAAAGGTTCAATATAATTTTAAAACTAAGAGTGTGTTATAGTTTAGTGGTGCACAATCTTTTTTGATGCACGACCCCCAAAATTATCTAGTTTGATGATATGACCTCCCCTTCCTACCAATATTATGTAAGTAATATTTACTTACTTAATGGTCTTAATGTAAACAAAAATTGTATTCATATAAATTAAATTGTTAATTTTAACTAATTTTAATATTTTTTTAATTTAATTAATCTAAAACATTTTAATATTTTTAAAATTATAAAATTACTAGGTACTACATGATTTAATGATTTTAATGAGAGACCTGAGCTTGCATTGCAGACATTGTTGATTCTATGTTTGGTTAGGTTACTACTCTTTGATAAATATATACAAATTATCTAAAATAATATACATAGTATATAACTTTTTCATTTGGTGTTAAATTATTGGCGACCCGCTAATAAAATTTTACGACCCCCAGGTTGCGCACCACTGGTATAGATATATGTGCAAAGTGGGTATACTTAATTTGACTAGTGTATTTTTCTTCTCTCCATGTTCCATGTAACTAAAATTGACTTCCCACGTTCGTAAATGTTTTATTTCATCGCAAATTCTATTGCCGCAAATAAACTGTCCTTTACCACTGACCATTTCATTTTCTGTTTGCCAACGCATCGCTACCTAAATAAGGTTAATAAGGTATATTTGATTATTTATAAATTGAATTATCAAAAATTATAATGAATTAGTATTAATAGTAGTACCTTGGACATTTTATACAAACTTAAGTCACAAATACAATATTCTTTAAACAACTTGTCATAGTACTTCTTTGCCAATTTCTGTTCCCAAGTAACAACTTCATCGTCCTCGTCCCAAACAAATTTATGGTTTTCTTGTATGACATCAATGTCACGTTTTTCACGTCTAAAACAAAACTATGACAATACTGATTGACAAAATATATAGGTAGGTGGATGACATACTTTTTTAGATCGCTCAATTTACAATACTTCAGATATTGGTCTAATAATGTTTTATGTAACTCAAATGGTTGAAGAGTAGAAATTTGCTTTTTATCCATATTGCTACGTGTAATGAAATTACATATTTGGTATATTAAGTTGTAATTAGATTGACTCAATCTACTTAATCAACTGTTTTAAAATATGAAGAAATTGAATAGGATTAATTATTAAGGTACAATTTTGGTATTAGTCAAAAATATTCACAATCGTAGAAGAGTAAATTCCAAATATTTGAATAAATATTAAATATCATAAAAATGACCACAGATAAGAATTGATGATAAATTGATAAAATTATTGTGCTGATAACATAATCACATTATGTTCCCGCGCTTTTTCAAGTAATTTTTGATCATACCATAATACTATACTATACTATTATATATTAAATTATTATTAATTTTTATTTGTGACCATAGATTTCCATATGGTTTTATTAGGTCTGAGTTTCTGATTTATGCACGTAATTATTTAATTTTACTAATTTTAAACAAGATCCATACAAATTGTGTTAGTTTTGTTTGTGTTACTTAAATATCGGTCACTGGACCAAGTTGTACACAAAACGACACTAATATGTATTTAAGGTGGCTAGGTGTGTAAACGCATTTTGAGTTGTCATTAGTTTAAAATTAGGTAAGTAATATTAGCTATTATCGGTTTCTTAAAGTCATAATTAAAATATTTCGAATTGTAATACCTATCCATGTATTATATTTTATTGTTCAGTATTCAGTAATCACTGATATGAATATCATAATGGTATCAAGGTACAATTTGAATACTATAAATGATAATACCGGAAAGTCAATAATAAAACGACGAATTCAAAAATGCCCTCAGTTTACTTATTCTTTTACTTATCTTTGCCCCTTATTATTATTATTGTTGATTGATCCTACATTTTGATAGTAATAACTAGTAATGATTATAAATAGTATTTATAATCAATGGTAATAATTAATAATAATACTAATCAAATAAGACATAACTTATAGTATTTGAGTATTTGAGGATTATAATATTTGTAGACTATACTTAAACATTCAAACAGATCAAACATTATTAAATATTTCCAAAACTTTAAATTACTACAAGTACATTAGTAATATTTGATTTTAATTTCCCGGTATTATAGCAATATTTTATTGCACACGATTTTTTCGAAGACATTTTACAAAATACGTAAAATAATATAAAATAATAAAATAAAATATACAACGATAATAATGTGCTAAAAGTCGATCATCGCCGTGAACACAGCATGTGCTCTATAACACAGACCGAATGGTAACAAAAATAATAATAAATAAGGGACAAAGGTAGGCAACCAATAGTGAAAATTAGGGCTCCGTATGTCGCCCCGCTGATTATCATTGACTTTCCGGTAAAATTCTTTATAGATATTCAAAATGAATAAAATAATTTTTATTAACTATCTATTTATGTCGCTGGTCGAAAAGTTTATGACTTTATTAAGAGTACTCTTTCTTTGTCATTTATTAGTACTCTCATAGAAACAGGTTCAAAATTTTAAATTCTAGAAAAATTGATTGCCAGTAATGATAAAGAATTCAGTGTTTCCTGAGTAAAATCGGGTTAGAGTTTTTATACGTTTAAGTTAAAAAAAATAGAAACATGATATAATGAAAATATATATATAATATATATATATTTAAAATGGTTAAATAAAAAATAATTTTAAATACTTCTACGTTCACGTTGTAAAAACTCACAAATATAAAATGCTTATAAATTCCTCAATCAAAATGTTTTGAAAATACTACCACGTCTATAAAAGTCAAATATAAAGTTTTTAGTTTCTATGAATTATTAACTAAACTAAAGCAAAACAAAACGAAAAATAATGAAATCATTATTCTCCTAAACTTTTCCGTTTTCTCTGTTTTGTTTTCGGTTTTGCTTGATTATTAAGAAAACCGCACGGAAAATAAAAATACGATTTTCTCACTCACTATCAAATAGTTATTAGATTCAAAATTCATCAAAAAAAGGCCCCTTGTCGTTTTCCGTTTATGGTAGAAAACATAGTTCGTACAAATTTTAAATAATAAAATCTTAACGCCGTAAAATTGGTTGGTTTTCATTGTACGCTTTTTCCCGAGATTTTCCAATTACTATGAAAACTGCTTCAAAAATTAAAAAATTACTTTCATACTCACTAACTAGAGATAAAAAGCAACAATTAGGTCTTTTGAGAATTTTTGATTGATTTCTGATAGAGAACATGGGTAATGCGTACAAATTAAATACAATGAAATTGGTAACGCCGCAGTGCGTTGTAAATATGTGTCCGGTTTATCCAATTTTTTCCAATTATTTTGAAAACCTCTTAGAAAATCAATGCACCAACTATGTGTTCAATATGCAACCAAACAAGACTCTTGTTATTTTTCTATCGTAGTAAGCTAAGTAGTAAGCTCTCGTTGAAAAGTTAATCGCGGACACACAATAAAAACAAACACATCATAGTAAAACCAAATCTCCGTTCAAAGATTTGCTTCAGATCTAAAATACGAGCTGTTGGTACGTTAACGGGGGAAAACAATGAAATTGTATAATTCTGACTTATAGTCTATTCCAGGAGCGTGCTCATGGGAGGATGATGAGGGTATCATATCCCCCCCTCTGAACTTTTTTTTTTAAGCATTTGTTTGAAGTTTCGATTTTCTCGGAAAAAAAAAAGGTAGTGCATAGTTGGTTTTAATTTTTAGTCTTGTTAATTTATTATTATTATCATGCATATAAAATATGTTTAGTAGATACTATAGTAATAGTAATTATTTATGATAATGCATATATATTATAGAAAAAAAGGTACCAATGGACTACTAAAATATATCAGTCCATTATATTCCGATATCTATGTATTAAATGCGATAATCAGCATATTAATATATTATCAATAGTATTTATATAGATACACAGTTTTTAGCTAGGTATGTTATAATAAAACTTTTATATTAATACACATGCCTAATTGGTTAATTAATTTTAATAATTTCATAGACTTTCGAGACTGAAAGTATGTATGTAAACGATACGATATTAACTTAGGCATTTAAAAATGTATGGATACCATTGCCAACATTTAAGTTTTCTTTTAATAAAAAAAATAAAAAAAGAGGTTTAAATTAATATTAGTATAAAAAAATAACATTTTAATTTGTACCTAACTACCTACTCCTAAAATATCTGCAATGTATGTACCAATAAGTAAATTTTATAAATTTGTGTAACAACTATCAACAAAACAAAATACAGTTTATCCCCCTCCTCAATGAAAAAAACTGAGCACGCCACTGGTTCATTCACCGAAAATATAACTCGTGACGTTTTATAAAGTATAATCTCGTTTTGTTTGATTAGTTCACTCTACAGATCAATGGCGTAACTAGGAATATTCTTTTGGAGTTGATATGAATATTAGTTAAAAATTTCAAGATAAAATCATAATTAATATATATTGTACTATATTATATAATATTATTAAATATTAACATTTTACATTAATAACTTACACTAGACCAGTGACGTACTTACGGAGGGGAGAGGAGAGAGGGTTGGATTCAACCATCCACAGTCAAAAGAGAAAAACTCTGAACTCAGAACATAAAGTAAATAAATATCCCAACAAAAACCTTCTGTCAACTATGTGTAAATAAAAACCTTGCTAAGAAAAAAAATACTCAAGTTAGAAAAGTTGTGATATCAAAAAGAGGCTAAGTAATTTTTTAAATTCACTAGTAGGTACAGATATTATTTGTATTTGATGAAGCACGATAATTTAATACAAATAATTTAACTTAGCTTGGCGGATACTAATATTTACGACTACAAATAAAGATACAATGCCGACATAATATTTACATCCCATTTTATAATTTATTCATTTTAAAGTACATACTATACGCCTAACCATCAAGCTAAGTTATTTGTGAATTTAAGAAATTACTTAGCCCCTTTTTGACATCACAACTTTTCTAACTTGAGTTTTTTTTTCTTAGCGAGGCTTTTACACGTAATTGACAGGGGATTTTTGTTGGTATAACACTCATTATTTTATTATAATTTTGGATATAGTTAACCTATATTTTTATTTTATTATAATTTTTAAAAATTATGGGGACAAAATATCTTTGTCGTTTTATGGATTGAGTAAACGAATATATGATGTATAACTATAAATATAGCTTATGCATGTTGCTGGTAAACGATACTGTAGTAATACAGCGATAAAATAATTAAACGAAAATTATTTTTTATTCGCCGTTAACGGTTACCGTCGCTAACAGATGGTAATAACGCGTGCAACATATATATATATATATATATATATATTGTTGAATTTTGAAAAAATAGCGTTTCGAGTAAAAACTGTGCTAATACTTTTGCATATTACACTGCAGGCTGTAATCGTCCGATCAAATTGAAATTTACAAAAATATCATCTACATAACATACTGATAAACCTGTGTAAATTTCAAAACAATTAGTCTATTAGATTAGGCTACAGAGAGGTCGGGGAATATTTTAAAATTACACAGGTTAAAATAGGATTTGGCCGTCTCGTGTATATTGCTACGGTCGACGCACGAGCTCTTTTTTATTTTACTCATTTATTACTTAGCTCTACGTTACGACCGCGGCGCTGGATCATAAATAATAATTTAATAATTATATTTTCATTATTCTGTGTTTAGTGTTTTGTACAGTAAACTATTAAATTCTCAAATGTTTATGCACACATTCTTGATTGTAAAAATACGAATTTACAATAATTGCATTTACCTAGTTAATTTATACAGTAAACTTTACAACAAGAAAATGCCAAAATAACAAGTATCTGTAACGATTATTAATGTTCGGATGTACACTATTTACAGATAATATTATACAGTACCTAACCACCTATAGACGTATTTATATTAGCTATATACTTTATAAACGGTGAAAAAAAGAGATTTCAGGATTACCACGGCCTGACTATGCTGTAAATAAAAAAAAATTATTCATTTATTTCTGAAGTGCTGCAGGTCGAATTATAATCATAGGCGCAATTTGAGTTAAATTTATATGGGTGCTAGATTTATGTTGACCAAAGTGACCCGTGGGGGGGGGCTTCGTCCTCACACCCCCTTCACATGACACCGTTCATACATTCACCATACCATTGATTATAGAATAGATTAAAATAATAGTCTATTCTATAATCAATGATCATATTAACTTATTAATATAAAATTATTAATAATTTATAATAAAATAACACAAAAGAAAATAAAACAAGAATTTAAGGTATATTTATCCAGCATGACGGTAGTGGCGGCAAAGCTAAGAAAAAAAAAAAAAAAAAAAAAAGGCGTATAACTATAAATATAAATCAATAGCCACTAACGTATAGTAACAGGAAATCGTATTGTACCATTGAAAAACCGTGCTAATTTGTGTTAATCCATCGGCCAGCTCTTCAGGGCAAACGAGTCCTAGCTCGAGATCCGATAAGGATCCTAAGCTATCAATCGACCAAAAATATTGTGTAGATGGGAACAGGGGAACTCGAAAGCAAATCGGTTAGATGGATTAAATGTTACAACTAAAAGTGGTTAAGTAATTTCAAGTTCGATTTTTCGTATTCGTCGAAAATATTGTAAAATATCTACTCTCGTTGCTGCGGCGACGATGACGCTGGACCCTGTTAGGTGAATAAGATGTTTACATGATAGTTTTAGAAAAAAAACTAGTTACAAATGAAAATGTCAGATATAACAACAAGAGGCCACCGATACTAGCTGGATTATTATTATTATACATAATAAGTAATAACTAAAAACAATATATGATAAAGAAAAAAGAAAAAAGAAAAAATAATGATCAAAATTCATCTTCGAGTTTGACAAATTTAAATAAAATCGCGACTTTTTTTTATAAAAAAAATTGCTGATATCACACCAAAAACACTTCGTTATAACTCCGTGTAAAAAAATTTAAGTTAAAAAAAATTAAATTTATTAATGATTAAATCTTTAAAAGACGCGATAAAATCTAGAAATTAAGTAAAATTAAATTTTATAATATTACAAATACCTATGACGACAAATAAGATCATTTTTAAAGTTAAATACTTAGACAACATATTGTTTATAAATTATTAATTTTTTTACGAAATTTAATATAGTGGTTACTTATTTGTACTTATTTAAGTATACTTACACGTCTTGCCAAGCAGTTTTTAACAATATGTTTACTAAGTATTTAACTTTACAATTGGTCTTATTTGTCGTCATAGGTATTTATAATATTATAAAATGGCATTTTACTTAGTTTCCATATCATACCACGTCTTTTAAAGATTTAATCATTACTAAATTAAATTTTTTTAACGCGGAGTTATAACTATGTGATTTTGGTGTGCTTATTAAATACAGGTAAATGCATTTTTTATTTTTATTTAAATATTATATTAAAGATATGCGTCTTTGTGACATACCAAAACTATTTATTATTTTATCTTTATCAATATTAGTGCTTAGATCTTTCTCAATATTAATACCTGACAAATCTATAAATTTTGTTAGTCCCAAGCTAATTCTTCATACGGCGCTTAGATGAAAAAGACCTATCGCAAATAGCGGAGCTTAAAAGGAATGGTAAATTCTACAGATAATCATTTGTATCGTCGCTTAAGTGCAACAGTGCATAATATCTCAGTGATCGTAGTTTTTCAGAAGAGGCATTTTAATGTTATGTTGGTACATAAGAATGATACAAATAGTATTAACATTTTCGTGAATAACAGTGTAACCGATAATCGCACAGAAAATTTCTCCGGTGGATAAATGTTCAAAATCACCTGTTTTATAAATATTGATAATAATCTAATTGTGTCAAATTTTGAGATAATATGCACTGTTGCACTTAGCGATGATACGGCCTAAAATTTGATAAGCTGCAAGCTTTCTATCGCGAGGAAACGTTCGGAGGTGCTAATATGAAATATATACGCGTGGCATCCCCGAATTGCACCAATGATTATAAAATAATAATAATAATAAAAAAAAAAACTGCTAGAATTTTTATTATGAATGAATATTGTCCCCCAATTTTTCTGCAGACCACCCCCCCCAATTAGCAAGATTGAATGCTCGCCGCTGATCTACAGACAGATAGATAGCGGTCATTACTGTTGCAGACGCGCGGTGTCAAGTATTCAAATATGACGTTATATTCATTTACGTTCTAACAATAAGACGAATGTATACACTAAAAACGAATTTGAGCGCGAAAATAAAAGGAAAAAATCGCAAGTTGTTATACCATAGGGTGGGTGTTTGGAATCGGTGTGTAACGCGATTTACGGGAAAGGTGTCTATACCGTTTTCGCCCCTCCGCGACCGGAATAAAGACAATGGAAATATGCGGCGGCGGTGCTGATATAGGTGTGATAATATTATCTCGGTTAAATCTTCAAGCAGAGTCTGAACATAGCAAGTGAAATATTTCGTTTAAAATAATTACGAACCGCGTGAAAAAACCGCCGCGCGACGCCGCCTTCATTTCGGTGCGTGCGGACCGGCGGCAAACGATATCGCCGCGGCCCACCGACACCGCGGCAGTGTGTGCGACGAGTGGACGAGAGAGCGGACCATTCACCGACCGGAGACGACTGCGTGCCACTAGATGATAGAACCGGTCGGGTTCGGAAAAGGAGAATACGAAAACGACACACCCACAGCGCACAGTCGCCGAAATACCATTTTTTCCACGATGTTTCACCGATGCCGTTTCGCGCCCCCTCCTCCCCGCCGCCACCTCGTCCGTTCGTTTTCGTTGACCCGTCCGTCCGTCATGGCGTCGTTGCGTTAGTGATTTGCGTGACAAGCATTTAATTCGCGTTGAAATAATTCCGCGATTTCCGCCGTTTCAACGTTTCGAAGCCGTCAAGACGCCGCGACCCGGTGATTACATTGCTGTGAGTTCTGTTTTGCGTTATTTAATTTAATTCGTAGGTAAGTGTTACAATAATTCAGGTATTAATTTGATTGATTCGGTAACGCCTAAAAAATAGTCTACGCGGCAACATAAAATACATTTGGCGAATAAAATTCTTAAAATTAACGCCCACAATATTATTGTTCTTTTAGCGCGTTTAATATTTGGGGAGTTTTCTAATTTGTATTTTTAAACAAATCCACGGTGATCATTTATAATAATAGCTACTACGAGTAGATTGTGCTATTGCCGTTCACTGTTTCTGCTTTTTTTTTTTTATTTTCATAGTTCGGTTTTCTCTTTATTGTGACAACATTTTCAATTTAGTTGCCAATATAAAATGTTTATTAGTATTTTGTGAAACCTTGGTAGGTAGTATCTATTTCATTTTACCTGTTATACCTCCAGCACAGCTAATGCCACCTAACAATTATTCTCCTTGTATGCAGGAACGTATTTAACTTGTTTTGTTGTCCATTGGAATAATAAATAATTATTACTATGTACTGTTTTTAAGGCTGGGACACTTCAAGTCCGGCTTCCCGTATTCCCATACTCAGCTTTATTGTTGGTTGGTATAGTGGTGTAATAATTCAACTACTTATGCATTATATTATTACAAGTAAACATTATAAGACATTTAAATCCACAATTCTATTACTAATTTATTATTAATCTCCCAAATGTAATATTATCATTAATACCTAATATGTATATACCTAATACCCATATAATGTATTATAATTTACCTACTGTTATCTGTTGTAGATTTTATAAAAATCGCTCACTCTCAAAAACCTCGAACAATTTTTTTGAATACAATGGATCAAGGCAAAAAGTAGGTATTCTTAGGTTAAACGGATTGGTGACTGTGTTTATTTTAGTCAATTTAGATTTTAGAACTAAAAAAAATATATACAAACTAGGTAAATGAAACTATAGGAAATGTGTTTGAGGCATTTAAATTTAAAAAAATGGATTATGATGCTTTAGGTTCTTAACTAAAATTTGTTGAAAACAACAATCCTTTTAATTATTTTTTATAATAGATTGTAAAAAAAATTAGATTGTATTTTTGAAAAATATTCAAAATTGAACTTGAGTATTTTTAATTTTACTTAATATAATGAAAATAGTTCCAATATATCATTGTGAACTTAACAAACCTAGCAAACTGAACATATCGTAAAACATTAAAATTTGTCAAAACAAACAGCTGGCTTTTCAATAATCCATTAATAAAACAGTAAATAACAAAATGTATTTATTTACAATTGTATTTAAATAATATAATGTAATAGTAAAATCTAATAAAATCAATCCATTTATTGAATTACAAATCATTGTTGTTGACTCTTTAATACATTATTACCTACTGACATAATTATTGGTATTGGTATTTTTTTAATATTGTTCAGGAAAAGCAAACAAATTAATTCATTGAAATATTAAACTTAAGTAGTAGATAATTTATTAGTATAATTCAAATTTTTTTTGTGTTAATATCAATCAAACTAATACGCCATTATAACCAATATTGCTACGTGTACAATTTTTTTTTATCCATAAATAAAGTAAATAAATGTGATAGGTTATTTATTATCCATTTAATGGTTTTGATAAATGTATTGTTCACTTCAGTTTTATATTTTTTTGTTTTCTTAGATATTAATTCAATTTTAAATTTTCTTTTAGTGACAACCTTCTTGTTTGATATAGTTGGATATTTTTTCTGAAAATGTTTAATACATTGTACACAGTCTATTAAACTTGACTTTTTGCCATCTTGTAACTTTATTATAATTTGTTTGCTACCCATTAATCATATAATTTATAAAATACTATTACTATTATAATTAATTACTAATAAAAACAATAATTGAGTAGGTATATACAAACAATTCCATTTGATGATTTATTCACCTATTAATAGTACCTACTCAGATATTTTTATTAGTCAAATATTTAGTTACAGTTTTTATAAGTATTGAAGTTATAGTAATATAAAAAAATACCTATTTATTATTTGAATCATGTATTAGGTAACTCTTATAATTATGACAAAAAAGATAGAGATGATTACAATGTGTTTCAGTTATGTTCAGTATGTATATTATATCCTCTACACTAGACCTATTTTGTAATTCTTTATTACTATTGGTTATGCTATTGTTAGCTAATAATACATGGAAAACTATAATAATTGTGAAATGAAGAAATATTTGAGTGGGATCTGAGTATAAAAAAAATTATCCATTTTGTTATGATTTTAATATAGTCATGTAGATTATATTAATTAGTTAAGTGTAAATGATGGACGATGATGAAATGTAAACTATTGAAATATAACAAAGTTAAACTTTACACATTTAGTATACTAGGAAGATAATATAACAAAAAGGTATAAATATAAATATCTCAGTAGATAAATCGTTCTTAAACTGATTTAATGTAAGATGGAAAACATCAAATTCTCTTGTTAATTTATTTACTTCATTAGATATTTTGTTTACAATACATATTTTAATTCTGTTGAAACATGTATGAAACATAGAAGTCTTGTGATTCTCTTGGGTACACAAAATTTAAAATCTTCAATATTGTAGGGGGTATTAATCAATCCATTGAACCTCGTAGAAAAATGGTAGTAAAGGTCAATTATGGTCACTTATGTAAAGGTTACAACTAGCTTCTGTTATGGATAATAAGGTGGTATTTGACTTGACTGCTGTTTAGTTTAATTCTTTCTTTAGTATGTCTTTCAATTCCTAATATTTGACTTTATTTATCATATAACCAGACAACCTGTATGTTCTTTAAAATATAGTTTGCTATCTAAAATGATTTCAAGATCTTTTATCAAGTGAGTATCCATAATTGATGCATCTTTCACATTGTAATTTATTGGAATTAATGTATTGTCTTTTTTTTGAGGTGTAATTATTTTGTATTTTGCTGGATTTACCTTCATGTCATATTAATATTTATTAAGCCATTAAAATATATTACAGGCTTGAAAATAGTAAATTTATAATTGATATTAGTTTATAGCTCTGATATAATGGTTTTGAATTTAAGTGGAATTATTTATAAAAGTTAATCTGAAGAACTCTGTAAATAGATCTGATACACTAGATAGTTGACTATATTTATTTTATAGATTTTTTGTGTTTATTATATTATTTTTTTTAACAACTTATGTATTTTATTATTTTTTAGAGACACGTGTCAACCACATTATCTGTCTAATTTGAAGATTCCAAAAGGTGTAACTATAACACCAGTTGTCCAAGATGAAGATAAAAAGATAATTTCTTTACTAAAAAAATTACCTAATATAACATTCACTTGTTATAATCCCAAACCAGTTTTTAAAGTACCTGAACCTCCAAAACCTATTAAAAAAAATGTTAGAAATGGTTCGGTAAAGAGTCAGAATAATAGTATAAGCAATATAAATCAAGTTTTAAATGTTAATGGTAAAAATCTGAAGAGAAATTCAAATCATCAAGACATTTCTGAAAACTACATAGGAAAAGAGAATAATCAGACAATTATCAATAACTATAAAGAAAAATGTTTTTATAGTCTTTATAATACTAAAAAACCAAACAAATCAGAAACATTACTTCACACAAAACCAGTAGACAATATTCCTAAGGCAATTCAAATTATAGATTTGAGTGAGGACAATACTGATTCTAGATATAATAGTCTTTCCGTGGATGTTGGTCAATCTGAATACAGTAACGCTAATTTAAAAAATAACCAAAATAACAAAGTGGATTACAGTATGGGGATAGACATGTCTATTGAACTAAACGAGAATTTGTTGTTGCAGGAAATTGGTAATTTTTGTGATAATCTAGTCAAACAAAATTCTGAAGTAGCTGACTCTTCAAAACCTACTAAAAAAAATGATGAACAAACCTTGAAACGCAAATATAATGCTACCATATCAATGATAAATAATGCTGATAAAACAGTTAAAAATAATTCAGAGAATGCTTCTGAAAAATACACAAGAAAAAAGAATAATGAACAAATTAGTTTTTCTAATGCCAAAAAAGTCAAAAAATCTGAAACTTTTTCTAAGAATAAATTGATAAAATTAAAAACTGTAACACCAGCAAGGAAAGTAAATAATTTGGCTATTGATGAAGATTATACACTTATGGATATATCAACCATGGGTAAAGTCAGTATTATTCCTTCACCTCCACCTTTAGATTTGATTAACTTAACTGATCCTGGACATGATGGTTTTTCCGCGGGCCTTGATGAATGTGAAAACAGTAATGTGCATTTAAGAAATAAAGAGGATCGCATGGTGGAAGACACATATAATGTACAGAACGATAAGCAATTATTACAGAAAATGACAAGTCTATTTTGTGAAAACTTGGTCGAAAAAAAATCTGACGCAGAAAATGTTTTGTTGATTAATGACTTTTAAGTGTAATATTATGTGTAAATATTATATTAATATTAATATTAACACTATAGGTGTATAAATAGTGATCATTTAGGTTGGTTCATACCTTAAATATCTAATTGTTATATAATATTTATGTGAATTAATGATGTTTTGTTGGACAAATATTTAATTTTTTTTTTTATTTATTTAGTGATATATCTTTTGGAATAGGTACCTATTTATTTAAAAATAGACAATATTTTGTAATTTTAATTAATAATTAGTTTTTTTATAAAACTACTACTATGTACTTATAAAATTTTAAATGTTTTTTTTTTCATTCTAAAATTCAAATGTATGGTAATTTTAGCTTTAAAGTATTTTCATACAAATAATAATACAACTTGACAGGATTAATATTTTTAACTAAACATGTGAACACTGGAATTTATGTATATTTTTTAAGTATTTATTCTAAATTAAATGGTATTGTTAAAGTTGTGAAATTATATAATAACATGTTGAAATATATCTTCTAATTATACATTTAATTGGTATTTTTTTTCTACTATGTAAGTACTTTTTAAATTATGACTAAAAGTATTCATTTTTATTGTTTATTCAAATTATTGAATGTACATTAGTACATAAGTATGTGTTTGTTGGCTATGAAACATAGATTCTCAGCCCAGTAAGGAATATATTGTGTTAATTATAATAGTTATATAATGCAATTTCTTTTTCTATTTGTGAACAACTTTTCTACCAGAAATATTTCTGCGTGGAAAGTGTGAACAGTGAAGGATTTAGAGTAATTTTGTGAATTTGCTGAAAGCAATAAGTAATCATTACAATAAATAATAAAGATTTTTTGTAAACTGGGAAGTTTATATTATTGGTCGTATTCTTTTCTTGTTACCAAGGATACCAAGAATCTAGATATTAACAAAAATAAAACCTATGTATTCGGTGTCTTCACATTTTGTTATTAGTTTATTCAATTTTTGGGGGGAAACTGGGGACTAGAGTAATGGTTTTTCAAATAAAGAAATCATTAATGAAAAATGATTCTGAGAGCAAAGTTCTATTAAAGCTTTCAATGTAGGATTGAATGCTTTTTTAAAAATATTGTGTAACATTTACCAATTTTTTTTTACCACTCAATTTTTCAATCACTTGCTTTGTCCAAAAAATTTTTATTGACTAGAAATTCATAAAAAAAAAAAATAATAAAATTCAGATTTTCGATAACTTTATGGCGTATTAAGAATAACATATTATCATGGATCTTGTATCAAATTTCTAGATTTTTTAGATGGCAAATAAATGTTATCTAACAGGTACATACAACCAAATAAAAACTGACAAATCTAGAATTTCAAATGGTTATAAATAGCTCAAAGTCCACGCTGTTTTTTTTTATTATTGAAAAATTCTTTAGTTATTTTAGTGATTGGTAATTTAAAAAATCTTTAAGTTATTATACAAAAATAGATGCTTTAAAAACAAATTTTAAATAGATAATTAATTAAATTTTTCTTCTAGGTGAATTTGATCAATTAGGTGTAAATTTAATTGTAAATGCAACACAGCCATTCAGTCTAGTGTAGCAGAATGATTTTAAATTACTTTTTTAGAAAGTTTTTCCAAGTCGTACAATGATTTCATGGTCAACTCTAATATCTTATTTAAATTCAACATTTGATAAGATTGCATTCAATTCTATCAAGGATATGTCGAATGTTGAATTTCTTACAACAGCTGATTGTTGGAGCATTTTCAAAAGGTATAATTTGTGTTTTGTGGATAGAATTTAAAATTGTGTATGGCTAAAAATGAATATGTATTATTTTGTGTAGATCATATATTGGCATAACTTGTAACTGGATTAATAAAGAAGATTTGAGTAGAAAATCTGTTCTATTGACAACTAAAAGGGTTGAATAGCCGACATACATTTGATTTTCTTGCAGGTGAATCAGGATTCAGTTTATTTAAAAATTGAGATTCTTAACAACATATCCTTTACAACAACTGACCAAAGTTTAAAGTAATTTAATCATCACTATTAATTAGTAGCTCTAAAGTTTTGTTTTAAATCATTTAAACATTTTAGAATGTGTATACCTGTTATTGGATTTGAAAATGATGTTCAAGATTCAGACCTTATACCAAGTGAATCGAAAACCCGGTGAAACTGTTAAAGATATTAATAATGATGAGATTCAGATTACTATTTTGATAATTCCAATCAATTAAATTATTAAGAATAATCCAGACAAACTATCATTTACTGGCTCACCTCCATTGTGTTGCGCACACCTTAATCTAGTCACAAAAACAGTTAGCATGCCTGTAATACCTACATATTTTAATATTTTATAATATGTGAACTAAATATTATTTACTATTTTTTTAGAATGTTGAAAATACATGAAACAGATCTGTTAATGGTGGAGAATATGCATTATATAAAAAGCAAATTCATGAAATGAAACGGTAGCTAAATGTTTAGTTACATAGAACAAGTAGAGTCGTTCTACATGCTTGACTGATATAATTCACTAATATTTAAAAGTATACTTGAAATGTTCAATGATACCGGTTGGAATTCAATGTTTGATTTTAACAAATATATGTTATGTCAGATTAAAAAATAATACATTTCTTAAGTTGTGTGGTGAGATAAATTTTGTTCAATTAAACAAAAATGATACCCTAGGGTGGGTGGTCACTGGTTCTTATAAATTTTTGGAAATTTTATTGGGTCATTTTTGGAATTTGTTCAAATTTTTGTAAGTAGAGCCTAAAATATTTATGATAGACTAAAAAATGTATACCACAATACATTATTTAAATTAAATTTTCTATACAAACTGTTACATATGCTTTTTCGTTTAACTACCCATTCACCAACAAAATGAAAAACTCGTTTTTAGTATATTTTAGCTAGTTTTAGGTAGATACCTATTAAACATAAAATAAAAATAAATATGAAGTAATTAGATATAGATTAGTTATATTTCAATATGGTCAATTTTTTTTTATATACATGGTTAAAATATTAAATACCTAAGAGTACAATTATGTTTAATGATTCTATCATTTATAATAATGGAACGTTTACGTCGAAAAAACAAGTGTTATTGTTTCAGCGCGTAAGTACCATAGATGACAACAAAATGTTTTCAAGGAGATGAAAAACGATTAATGCAGTTTTATTATCAATATTTTCAAATTTAATCTTTTGCAGGTCCTATATATATTTACCACGGTTGTTTATTTTTCTATGGAACAGAATGATTACACAGTATATTTGTCGAAATATGTGTTTTAGGGAAATTTAATATCATAGAAATAGTCAACTTTTACTGCGAGCGCGGTTGTTATGATTTTGTTTTGCGCGTTTTTCGTAAATGTGGTAAAATATTGTACCAGTGATATGACGTGTAACGTTTTTCTCGTGTAGGTAGGTACATAAAAATTTCGACTGTTAAGTCTTCAAATGGTCAGCAATAATCTAATTAATCAACTATTTAGGATAAATGTTCACATTAAATTCATATTTGCATCGTCTAAGAGGTATTTTTCTGGCGATTATAAAATACGAAATAAGTATCTACCTATAATTTATCATGACAAGTTGGGATTGAGTTCACTTAATTAATTGAACTAATGCAGTTTTTTTTGGATTTAATGTGTTGTTAGAAACAATAAAATTTAATAAACATTTACCAAATATCTATTTATTATACACTTAGGCAAATAATTTTCTTCAAACTGAAAAAAAAATTGTTCCAAAATATATTGTGTTTTCTTTTTAGAACTTGATTATTAAAATATCAAGTAAACCTATGCACGACTATTATTTATTAATTGTATTCATTTTATTTTAAGTATATTCATAACGAATGGAACAGACATTTGTAATTTGGTGGTGAAATATTTTAACAATGGCCATTTAATATTAAGTGATGACCTAGACAATCATTGGTTTATTATTTTACCATCCCTTAAGTCAGAAAGTATTCATAAAAACATTTTTTTTTTTTAATTTTCTTAAAATATACATATTATACATATTACATATTAAATATGATTTTAGAAAATACCTGCAGTTTAGGTCGAACCGTCAAACAGAGCTAAGGTACCTTATGTCCTATAAAGGGTTAAGTAATTTTGAACAAACATGAGATCTTGGCGCTTTAATTACAATATGAGCTTGAAACTAACTTTTTATTCACCTAAGTAAAAAGAAATAATACAAATGCGTGTATCTTGGCATGCCTTTTGTTGAGATGGAAACATTTTAAATTGATAATAGAAAATAAATATTTTAGGCAATGTATTGCCTTAGCTATTCATCTAGCATGACAAAAAGCACCTGGAATACGAAATGGTGTTTTACGATGTGGTGTACGTTCCTCCGAAAAAAATGAGTTACCATGTAATCTTCACGAAATTATTATTTTTTTTTTTCAAATGTTCGAGTGCAAACTGAAGTACTTCAATTTTCGAGTATGATAAAGTCATATAAACATTACTATCCTCGATTCCAGGATTGAAATTACTAATATTTAATTTGCTCCAGTTATTAATATTATTATTTTAAAATACATATCAGTATTTATCGATAACGTAATCTACAATGTGACGATTGTGTATTACATGATACTACGATAGATTAAAATCCAGTTATTACTACTTAGACCTGTAATAGGTATACTTCGTAAATATAGTTAAATGGATATTGTAGTGTTATGCGCTATTAAAAAGGCTATATGGTTATATGGCTATATATATGGCATATATGGCTATATGGTTGATTTTGTTAATACAAAGCAATATATACCTACGAACTGAATATAATAATTAATATAAAGTACACAAAAAAAAAAAGAGTATTTTTATATTGTGGGTAAATAAGTTGCTTAATGTAAAAAGTACAAATAAAATTTATTATAAGACATTTAATTTAACATTTATTTTATTTTTATTTAGTGCCTGTTATTTATAATTTAGGATGAAATTAAAAAAATTAACTAAAAAATCATTTTTTTTTTTTTTGAAATTTTAATCCTTACGAGACACGCCTTAAGATGACTTGACATAAGTCATTTTTCATCGTTTTGAACAAATTTTGGGGACCGCCGGATCAAAAATTGAAAAAAATTCATATCTATACGATAAGGACCACGGAATGTATACGTTATGGAACCATTAGTTGTGTACCTAGATATTTACAAGGAGGAAAATGTACTTATGTACTTTGGTTATCTAATACCGCATATTTCTGGACTTATTATACAATATGGCAGTATGAAGATTAATAGAAAATTCATGTTTTACGGATTTTTAGTTGATATAATTTGTTTCAATATTGAAAAAGTTTGAAACTCAGCTAACTGATATATTTTTCATGAATGCAATCATACCTCACATAAAACTTATTGCATCATAAATAATGTTAAAAAGTAAATAGTTATTAATCAATAATCTGCGGTTTAAACAAGTTGTTACTGAATTTTCTAAAAGTTTTCTTAGCCCTTCCAATGAGAGAGGTGACTGTGACCAAGAAGTAAATTCTATAAACGATAAATTTGATGATTTATCAAATAATTCTCCTTGGGCTAAATAACTAAATTTATATAATTCTGTTGCATATGAAATGTTGACTTATTTTTCCAAGAGCACAACAATGAATTTAACTTTGTTGGATGATACACTTTTTTTAAAATACAACACTTTTTTACCAATAGTAGTGCTCTAATAATTGAACGTGTAAATGTTAGTGCGGGAAATGTAGTTGTCACAAAGAAACAAAGGTGAATGACAAATAAAAATAAAATGTTCATATCAAAAATATAGGTAGTTGAGTTCCTATGTGCGCAATTTGTATTTTTTAATGAATATATATTATATTTTTAAATAACATTGAAAAATTACTGTTTCTTATTTTAATAAATAACATTAGGCTGGCATACAATTCACATGGTATGACTATAGTATTATAGATATCTATTTAAAATTAAACATATTACTTTATTTTGTAGGTATATTAAATGTTATGCGATTATAACTATAGTTGATATAGTTATAATAATATATGTACATATATATATATTTGTACCTACTTACAAAAAATTACAAAGACAGCATAATTTTGGCGGTAGATAAAAGTTGAGGAGGAATTTTCAGGATTACAGGATTACACATAATATTATATAGCTATAATAAGGTATAATAATAAATATAAATACTTGTTAAATTATTTATTGCACTGGTCATTTAGAACAGATGAATTTTGAAGTCAACATTTTAAAAAAAATAAACATTTTTATAAACGTGAAAAAAAGTTGAGAAAAACTGCTTTAAACAGTTGACAAAATTTGACATTACGAGCGTTAATACAATATTATTCCTTATTTGGAATTGGAAAGAAACTCATTGGCAGTACGTTTTAAATTTAAATTTTGACACATCGGGCAATCGTCATTGCCGCCTACTAACAAGTCTGTGTAACCTTTTTTGATGGCCCAGTTACAAACTTCCCTGGACCACGGGCAACCGTGCTTGCGCATGTACCGGAGACAGGAAATGTGCCCCTCTTCCATGGCCTTCTTGATCCCATCTATGTCCCATTGGCACCCCATCTGGTGCGCGTACTTTAGACATGCGAGGTTTCCGGTGCCGGCGGCAAAGTACGTCGTGACTTCGTCCCACGGACAGCCGTTTTCATGGGCGTACTGGAGACAGTTCAAATTGCCTTGGAGCGCGGCTAAGTAGCACGTTTGTGGATCCCAAGAACTTCCGCTGCGGTGCACGTACTGCAGACACTCGAGCGACCCGCTGTACGCGGCCATTGCCGTTAAATTATCGTTCCACGGGGGTAGATTTTCACGGGCGTACTTGAGGCATTCCAATTTTCCGTTCTTTGCCGCTAACGCGGACGTCATCCTTGCCAAACTGCACCCGTTCTGATGGGCCCACATAAGGCACTCGAGATTTCCGGCGGAAGCGGCTGACGTGCATGTAAAGCTGCTCCATGGTAGATTCATTAGCCGGGCGTGTTGCAGACAATCGAGATGTCCGTTTTTGGCCGCATAATCGCATATCCACGTATTCTCGGTGTCTTTCTCGACCAGCCCTTTTTCGATCTGCATCAGCGTGTGACAACATTCATCCAATTCTATTTTTCGGATATTTTGCGGCAAACTGTCGTACCAGCGCTTTTGCCGTTCGTCGCACGAATAATAGGCGCGTTTCATTAACGAGAACGCCATGATTATTCAGTATTGTAGGTACGCCTTTGTAGATAAACAAAAAAAAAAAAAATCAAAAAATTACTTATATTTCATATTATTAGGTGCCTGATTTGAGTTGAACATTGTGTGTATTCGCGTCCCAAATATTAGCTAAATTAATGGCTATGAGCATTTCCATCTGTTAGAACGCAACACGCAACTCGCCCGTCAATTAACATAAATAACACTATATATATACATTACAAATAACCGTAATTAACTCAATTCGCACTACATCTGAACTCGAGATTTAATACGAATGAACATTGGATGTATAGGTATATATACAGAAAGTAATTTTTAATTCGATAGGTACAAATTTGTTTCGTTAGACCCGTGGATACTACAGGGGCGTCTTTAGACCTTGACTATGGGGGGGAGGGGGCGAAATAATTCAATTTAATATTAACGATTGCTAAGGAAAAAGGACGAAATACTCCGCACGATGATTGGACCACTGTTATAGAATTTGGGAAGGTAGGACATTGAGAGAGATTTAATGTATATCTGTACCTAAGCAAATTTTTTTTTCTGTGGACAAATTTTCTACCAGCATTTTGCTCCAATTAACATTGATAGCACTGTCTCTGAAAGGAAATCTGACTGGAGTGGTACTTTAGGGAGGTCATTTTTTGATTTTTTCCAGGAGTTTTCCCAATAATTAAGAAAAACCGGGAAAATCGGTACAAACAAATTTGACTGAAATCCGCTTAGAATCGTTTTCTCATTAGAAATGGTTTATAGTTGCTTACAGGAATGTACATTAAATTATGTACCTATAAAAGTGGCTGTACCCGTCTCCATTATCCAAGGACAGCACTTTTTTTTCTTTTTTTTCTAAAGGTAGATTGAAGTAATAATATTTTGGTTGAATATCAATATGAATTTCACCATATTGTTATGGGCGGAAGGTGTTTTTTTTTTGACTTTGTTCACACCAACGAGTGAAGTTTGAGAGATGAAATATTTTTGTACATGCAAGTGTAAGTGTGAAAGATATGATTTTTAAGAGTTTCAATTTATAACCCACTCCCCACCACCCATTGAGAATGTATAGGATAAACATAAAGTTGTTTGATCTATATCTGTACGCAATTGTAATATTGCTAATGAAATACAATTCAGAACGAAGTGACGTGATTAATACGATTTTCGTTAAAATTCGAACTTTAAACGCGTAGAAGAAAAACTACTGTACTACGCTATTTTGTTAAAAAAAAAAAAAAAACATTTCTAATACATTTCTACTCGGTTAAAACAATATTTTATCCACAAAAAAATCAATATTTCGCCAAGTGAATTAAATGATTACCTGATAGATGTATTGACGAAACTAATAAACAACTTTGACGATTTAATGTGTTTTCATGGATATTATAAATGTCTTAAAAATTATCACATTTAATTTGATACTCCGAACAACAAAAGCAAAGAGAAATGGCTATAAAACACTAATAATAACGGTTCTAGCGATTGCAGTTGTGTGCTCGGTATTTATACATACGTAAATTGTATCGAAAATATTTTAAACCCTAACCAAAAATTCGATACAAAAAACATAAATATTTTAATCGGGCGTGAAATTTTATTTACCGATATCAAGATGTATACTGTTAACACGATCATTGAAAGAAATAAGAAAAGATTACGTTTTTGTTGAAACGATATAAAATATATAGTGACTATTTTGGTAAATTGAATTATTCATTATTGCTGTACATCAAAATTTAATATATTTTTTTTTTTGTTTAATAGTGTGAACTTGATTCAATATTATACAAAGACGACGGTGTTTATAATAAGTTCTTCACGGTAAAACATTCATCCGATTCGAACACAACAAATTATGCAAACAACTTCTTGAAACAATTGTTACGGCATTATATTTTTATATGAAGAGTTAGAGTATCCAGAATATCTTGCAAATTATTTCATTCCTATAAATATACATTAAAACTTTTAAATGGAAAGGAAAATACCTAAATATGCCATACATATGCATAGGTAACGGTGTAATTTTTTTATTTTTAAATCATCTCTATTTAGGTGCTTTTTATAATTTTATTTTACCGTGTTTTTTTTTTTTTTTTTGGGGGGGGGGGTGGTTGAAGAGACATGATTATTTAGAAAACTACAACATGAATTCTTTGACGAAACTGATTTCACTAATTACAATGAATATATTATTTTCAATAACCGATATTCCAGGAAAATTGAAGCCTTTATTCAATGATTTGAGGATTCGCATATAACGAAGACCGACAAACTGTACAGACAAATGTGTATGAATAAAATTAAAAAAAATGGACATACTTTGCATGGTGGGTGGGCTACTGTTGTAGGTGAGAAGTTGTGAAGGTAGGTGGATGGGAACTTAATGTATATATGTACGCAACGATTAAATTTGCTAACGAAAAACGATTCTGGGCAGTGTTCGACTATACATGTTTTGAAAGGCCACAATATTTAGGATTTTCGTAAAAATTTTATATGAAAATTCGTATAATTGTACATGCACTCAATTTTTTTTTCGACCCTAAAGAACGACTTATAATGAAACTCTTGATAAATGTTCAATAATTTATGTTTGATCAATTTTATCTACAGATTATTGAAACGATACGTACATTATCCCACTGGTGGTGCGAGGTTAGTATTAGTTATACAATTTAGTTTTTGATATAACTTACTAACTAAAAAAACCAGCACAAATAGGTCATTACAAGTAATACGTTTATAAGTAATATGTTTAGAATCTATGAGAAGTGGAAGAAGAAAGAAAGAGAACGAGAAGTAAAAATACTAATTAGGTATACATGAATGATCGCGATATCTTAATAAAGTTTGCGCTTTTTCTAAATTTTAATTAAATGTCACGCATAATTTTACGGAATCTTTCCGGCAAACGAATACTCTGGTATTTTTAAACTTTTTTAAGTTCCCAGCTTTTATTTATTATTAATCCTTTTAATATTTTTGTCTCGTAATTTGAGTGTAACGAAATTCATCCCTTTCTACATCGGCATCAGTGGTTCAGTGGTAGAATGCTCGCCTGCCACGCGGGCGGCCCGAGTTCGATTCCCGGCTGATGCAATAATTTTTTTTCTTATATTTACGCGAAAATTCATACATTAATATATACATTTTATAAAAAGTATTTTATGTAGTAGTAAAACAAAAATCGAATATAATTTTCTTCGGGATCGTCGTATAAACTATAGGTACTCGATTTTTTTAGTTTAGGCACTACTCATTTGTTTTACCATTAAATACAATTTGTATATAATTTTTTACTAAACCTTTTTACAGGGCTATAACAATTTAATTTACGTTAACATAAATCGAATAGAACTGTACAAAATTTGGTGATTTTTTATGAGTTTTGTAACAAATTTTTGTTTATCTACATAATATTTACCAAATAAAAATTAAATAATCTAGGAAATGTCTAATGCCTATAAGTAGCTCAAAAATGGCGAGAATATTTTTAAAATGTTATAGCATCTTGAAAATGCTAATACAAATACTTTGTGAAAACTCATCAAAATTCTATTAAGTTCAAAATGCAACAAAAAAGGTTTCTTGTAACTTTTGGATTAGAGCTTGGTTTTGGGTAGAAAAGTTATTTACAGGTGGAAAAAAAATCGCACACAACATAACAGAACTCGCTCTGCTCAGAATCTAAAAACGAAATTAATATAAACCGTTACTGCTTTTTTTGACGGTTTTTGTTAAAAATAAAATTACAAGACGAAACGCAAAAGATGATCTCCATTTCATATAATGACCGACCAGAAAAAAATAAAAAAAAAACCCTACCGGAAACCAACCTTCTTTAATTGAAGCAAAATCAATAATGGGAAAGTTGTTTACAGCTAAATTTTCGTAAAACAAATTGTTAACATACAATTTAAAAACACACGGATTTACTTCACATGACAGGTGGGCCATTGCTGTATGATACTGCTGTAAATGAGAAGTTTAGAAGGTAGGGTATAGAGGGATATAGAGAACGATTAATCTTTGCTATCGAAAAACGACTTTGAGTGGAGTTCGGATATACATGTTTTGAAATGCCGTAATATTTACAATTTGAAAATAATAAATTCCGTAAATCTTTCCAATTTTTCTCATTTATTATAAAAAAAAGCTGGGAAGGAAATCAAAAAAAAAAAAAAAGTGATTCAAATGTATGTAGCAAAAAAATGCATATTGAGGTATTTATTTTACTAAACGTGCTATTTTTTAGATTTTGAGCGTAGCGAGGAATGTATTGGTTTTGCTACGAATATCTATGATGTGTTATCGTTTTTGGGTCTAAGCAATTTTCTCTTCAAGAAATCTCGTTTCGATCAAAAACTACAAACTTATTTTTTATTTTGGCATTTCGGATCGAGTTGGTACATTGAAAGGTCGATTTTTTTATTTTCCGTTGGGTTGTCAAAAGAATTGGAAAAAACCCGAAAGAATATTATACAGATAAAACGGCAAATATTTACGGCGTGCCGTTGCGGTTATCATTTTCATTGTTTTTATTTGTTCATTGTGATTTCTACCAGAAATCTTGCTCCAATTGAAAAACAACAAGAGACCTTTTTTGACGAATTTTTAATATAGTTGGTGAGTTAGATAGTCGTTTTTTGATTTTCTTTATTGTTTTTTCAATAGCTGTGGTAAACCGACAAATACGTAGAAAGAACGGAAAATGCACGATAGTAATTATTTAATTATTTTAAATTTTTTTAATGTATTTAGTTAAAAATATTTATAGAGACTTGAAATATTGAAAGAAAACTTATATTCGCTTTTTCTAGATGTGGTAAAGTTTTCAAAATATTTGAGCCATTTTTGATCTATTTATAGGCATTTTAATATTGCGATATTTTTACGTAATTTGCAGTATTTGGTAGGTAAAACTATCTGTAAATAAAATTCTTAGACTAAACATAAATGTTAGAATATTTGACCGGAGGTTCATTATGAGTTGGATATAGTGGCCAAAAAAAAAAAAAAATTGAAGAGTAATTTTTTTTGTAAGTATTTTAAAATCAAATTTTGACTAAAATCATAAATATTAAGGTCATTCAAAACATGTATAACCGAATTTCGCTTTGAATCGTTTTTTGTTAGCAATGATATACAGGTATAATTTAAATAACTTTATATATTCCACCTTCCCAACTACCCCTACCTATAACTATGGCAGCACGCGACCATCAGACCTTTTTTTGTTGTTATTGTAGGTACTTCGGTAAATACTAATACAATGCCGAGTGCCGTGCTGCCACACAAATGACACTCCACTACTCTCTTCCCACTTTTTTTTTTTTATACTTTTTTTTAAATTTTAATTATAATACATACAATCTGTAAATACTTTTTACAATAAGCATGTTTGAGGTCCCACTTAAAATTAAAAGTGAAACATCTTGTCAACGGGTTGACGAGATTCTTATTTGAAAAACCAAAGTCGGTATTTCCATAGGATACTATTCAAATGTTGTAAAAAAGTATTTGAAAATATCGGCTTTAACTACACTTAAAAATTCCAAAATTCAGAATTCATTTCAATATATGCAAAATTTAACCGAAAAAATGGGTTAAGCACGCTTAATGAATCATCCTGTACAACTTTTTACAATTTTCGAATATATTTTAGTTTGTATAGATTTATGGGGAGAAAATTTTTTTGGCCCGGCCAATATTTTCGAAATGTTAATACGGGTTTATCATAGGTTGTAATTATGTGGATAGGATTTTTTTTTTAGAAGTTTAAAGCAGTTTAAATTCAAATTTGGACAAAAATCGTTTAATAAATCACTGTATTTTAGGAAGCATTTAACCGGACTTTGCTCAGAATCGTTGTTGTTGTTAGCAATGGTTTAACGTTTCGTTCAAATTTTATTTATTTTACTTTCTTAATTTCCAAAAACAGTGGCACAAACTACAGCAGTGTCGCGTCTCTGAAGTTAGCCCTTCGAATTTGTCCAAACCAATCTAAACCCATGCGAATTTGAACATCATTATTGTGGATAGAGCCTTATAACCTCATTTTTTCGCTAATGTATATTTATACTTTTTTGAGTACCTACATAATTAAAGGGTTTTTTAGCACTTTAAGTCCCAAGCCCCGAGTCCATAAGGTATCCAATCTAATAAGAATATGACATTACCGATTTGTTTTTGTGTGCTGTATAAAGTTACTAATAATAGTTACACATGAAACATACTTTCCGGTAATGTTATCAAGGCGCTAAAGGAAATAAACATATATACACTATAAAATATTATACCTGGGTGTACTAAAAAAAAAAAAAATTTTCACGGACGCATTTTTATATTTTATTCGTAAAGGTGTAATAATACCATTGAATCTTATTCCACGAAAAAAAAATGTTTCCAATTTGCGAGCAGCGATTTTATGTGAATGTTTTTTGTGTATATTATCTTATTCTTTTTACCGTTTAAATTATCACGGAATAAAAAATGACATAAAGGTAAATAATACAAATATAATAAAGCCAAATAAGTTGATATAGTTGATAAGAAAGAAAATCAATATCGATAAAGTTATTAGCCGCGATACGTATCAATTTACAAAATATTGATTAATTATCAATAGGAAATTACTATTGAACAATATTTGTTTATTTAAGGTTCGTGCTGAATAGCTTTGTTAATACTGATTTTATTTTAATCAATTATAGGAACTTATTTGCTCTTTATCTTCATGCCATTTTTTATTCTGCAATAATTTAAACCGTAAAAAGAAAACAAATAATAAATATACATACACCTAAAATCGCTGCTGGCAAACTGGACAGTTTGTTTTTTCCCCGTGAAATAATATTCAATGGTAATGTTCCAATTGTATTCTTGGCAATCAAATCATTTTGTGAAATCAATCAGAATAACATAAGTCTTATATTTATCACCAACCACGGATTAAGATATACATAATAAGATATATCAATCTTAATTCGTGTCAACACATTTTATAATACTTTTACTAAGGGGTTGTGTATAGGCATTTTTAACGAAAACTTAGAAGAATTAAAAATTAATCTATTAAAAAATATTCAAATAATCAAAATCAATTACAAATAAATTTAAAAACGTGTCATTATCTTGCTAGTATTTAAATTGTCACATTTTTTTTTTTTATCAAAAGCACGTTAATACAAAGCCGGAAAAAGGAGGTACCTACAGTGGAGTGCCCAACAGGTAGGCCTGGTAGGCCCAGGCCTACCCTGTATTCAAATAATAATTATTAATATTTTTCAAGAAACATAATTTTATACATTTTTTTCTTCATAATACGATATGTAATTGAATCATTTTGGAACAAAGATTATTTATTTATTACCCACTTACACAGCAAGCGTTTATACGTTTTTATACGTTATTATTAATTCTTTCCTTCGTCGCAAACAATTGTAGCCATAATACGATATGTAATTAAATNTTTTTTCTTCATGATACGATATGTAATTGAATCATTTTGGAACAAAAATTATTTATTTATTACCCACTTACAGCAAGCGTTTATACGTTTTTATACATTATTATTAATTCTTTCCTTCGTCGCAAACAATTGTAGCCACAGTACTGCTTATCGGCTAAAATGTACGACTAAAAATAGTAAATAATAGACAATAATACATCCAATTATCTGAAGTGAGTTATTTATACATTCGTCACTGCCCGTTTACTGCGGACAATCGTCATTTGATATAAGATAATGAATATGGTTTATAAAATATGTTATTTTTAGATATTAATAATTTATTAATTTATTACAGTGTGTACTGTGTAGACGTATTATAGTGACTTGTATGTAACCAAGCCGATCGAGGAAATCGTTTTGTCTGTTTTTGTTTGTGTACACTATTAGAATAACCTAAGTACTTTTTTATTTTATATTGGTTATAACTTGACTAATAATTAAATAAAAATAAAAATATGATTAGCCAGTTTTTTAAACCTATTCCGAAGTCCACAAGGACNCGTTTACTGCCGACAATCGTCATTTGATATAAGATAATGAATATGGTTTATAAAATACGTTATTTTTTGGTATTAATAATTTATCAGTTTATTACAGTGTGTACTGTGTATACGTATTATAGTGACTTGTGAGTAACCGAGCCGATCGAGGAAATCGTTTTGTCCGTTTTTGTTTATGTACACTATTAGAATAACCTAAGTACTTTTTTATTTTATATTGGTTACAACTTGACTAATAATTAAATAAAAATAAAAATATGATTAGCCAGTTTTTTAAACCTATTCCGAAATCCACGAGGATATTGAACGATGATGATAGTACAATAGACCAACCACAAACGAAAATGTTAAAATTAAATGTTACCTCAACTTCTAACGAGTCTTCTATTTCCTATTCTAGCTTAAATAGTGATGAACAACCTATTTAGCCGATTATCAATTTTCCACGTCGTAAAATTTGTGAAAAACAACGTAGNGCGCAAGACAGGATATAGGTTTACGTGGTCACAATAATGTAATCGAATATTCAAATGAAGACGAACCTATATTTATAATAATACATAGATGGTGAAATGTGATTCAAAATGAGACGTCGAAATAAAATAATATCATCATTATTTATTATAAACATTAAGAACAATAAGAAGAAATCGACCGTGAAACTGATACTTTAGTCTAATTAACGGGAAATGTGATAAATAACAAAACATTTGTTTTCGTGCTGTCAGCTCTCGTTGGTCGTACAAATTATCGATTTTGGTGCCGAAATGTGTTAACATTAAAGACATTTTCTAATCAATTTCTGTCGATTTTATACGAATTTTTCGAAATATTTTTAAATAGGCATATTTAAAATGCGAACAATATCGACTTGAAAAAAAAAAATTGTTTAAAACTGTTCTTTAGTACACAATTTCTTTATGCATAAACTCGATTTGTGGAAAGTACGAATATACTACAATATCGTCATAATATTACGCGCGTTCGATATAGACCGCAGAGAAAAACGCAAGCACGGTTTTTTTTTTTACTTTTATCATTATTTTTTTAAGTATTTAATATATTATAGTTGACGCATTTTCTTTTTTTTATTAATAGACACTCACGAACCCTACCGAATTTATATTTATAATAATAATAATTAATATAACATTACCTATTTAATAATTAATTGCAAGCTGTGATGATAATAATATTATCATAAACTCGAATTACTTATTGTATTACGGGTAAGTGCGAAGACGAAACCGACGACCAAATCCAAAACAAAACGATAGTGGTGGCGATGGCGTTGATGGTGTCCAAGTCTGAACTGAGACGCGGCTACAATATTATTGCACACTGCAAGGTGTTGCGGACTGCGGACGACGATTGACTGTGTTCACAGCTATTGTCACCGGTTTCTTTCGGACCATCGGCACCGAACAAAAGTGGAAGGGAGACGTTTTCAAAAAACGGCCGTTTATCGGGTATGCACAATATGCGTACGCGCGTGTGTGTGTGTGTGTGTGTGTGTGTGTTTGCGTGTCGTGTTTGTGCGGGCGAGCGCGCACGTGTGTGTGTGGGCCGTTTTCGGAGGATATTCAAACGCCACGCCGCCGCCGGCCCGAGAGGAAATGTCATATCCGTATTGTTGCAGGATGTTGTATCGAGAATATTCCCGGAACCCGTCTTTGTCAATAAGTTTCTCCGTCGAAAGACGAAAAAAAAAAAAAGAAGAAATTAAAGGTTATAAGTCGTCTGTGCCTATTGAAAATTAAAACGTTTACGAGAGAAAAAGGTTACAGCGCTGGATCCGAATATATTCGTACACTTGCGCAGCGTGATACTGATGTATTATACTAGTAAATAATCGTTAAAATATTTTTATGTTAGGCGCGTCGGTGCGGGTCCGCAAAATCTCTTGAAAAAGAAAACAATGCCCGCAGGGGTGGCCGATATCTACAGGTATAGTATATAGTACCATATAGTATCTATACAGTATATTTCGAAGCGCTCGGACTCTCAATCCGAGTATAACTGCAATTCATCACGGTATACCTATTCGACGTGATCTATGTGTATAATAGCCGGCTGCAGATACCTTTTTAACACCGACCGACCTCGGGGAAATATGTCCATGACCTCGCTTTGACAACCCCCAACGTATGTACAATAATATATGTAATATATTATAAAATATAATGTTGCCATAGTATATTCCAAACGAAACGAATATCGACGAATCCGGAACCTTAAAATGTACCGATTTCCTAAACAAATACGGTGATTTGTTTTACATAAGGTAACGTTCAGTATTTCGCAAAGTATTAAGACTTAAAAAAAAAAAATTGTTTTGAAAATTTAAGAAACAAGCAACTTCTCAATACTCTACACAAGCATTATTTTTTGTCTCCCTTATTTTTGAGTGTGAAACAACTACCTAATATTGATTTTAGAGTGGCGACCGATATTAAAAGTTCCATAAATAGACGGAGTATTAGATTAAATCAATTTTGGCATTGAAATTTTAGATTTCCGTCGACCCGTTGACGAGTTATTCTACTTTTAAGTTTCAGGAGGGGAGAGTAGAGGAACACTATTAAAACGCCGCACTCCGTGCTGCTACGCAAATAGTGTTCCTATACTCTCTCCTTAATCAAATTTAAAAGTGAAAAAACGGGTTGACGGAATTTAAAAATTTCAACACAACATTTATTTTAAGTAATACTACATACATTTATAGAACTTTTAATGCAGGTTGCAGTTTGAAAATTAAAATTAAGTGGTTGTTTCACACCTAAAAATAAGGGTGAAAAAAAAATGGAAATGCAACATTTTAGAGCCGGTTGTTTATTAAATTTTCAAACAAATTATTTTTGAATAAGTAAATAATTTGCGAAATAATGAGTGTTTTACGTAACTGAATCGCACTTTAAAATATGTGTACTCAACCGATAGTATACCTACTAAAAAGTCTCGCATTGTTAATATTAATTATATTGATACTAAAACATTCGTCGTCTGGCATAGTTCATTGCTATTGTTACTGCCTATTAATAGGTACCCGCCTAAGTCAAAAGCGGAGATTATACATAAAAAAAAAAAAAAATCAAGGACACTTTCTGCGGTTTTTTTTTCATCCCCATCCATTCACCGGCAGCATCGCCACACCCTTAGGTATATTAAATTATGTTTCATTACATACATTCCACAATATGTTTAGAATCTAAAAACACACATCATAATAGTAAATCTTAATGTTAGAATTCTCGTTTGCTCAAAATTACCATTATGTTTTCCTAGACTATTATTGTTATTAATTTATTATACTTAAGTACCTAGATAAATGCAGATTATAATAAGTATTAAATAAATTGGTTTAGCTTGGTTAATATTATGTACTATTATTCAGTGCAAAATCAACGTTTATTTAGCTATGCTATAATCTAATTTGTCAACATTGTATAGGTACTAAAATATTAAAAATTGATTTGTATATTATAGTACCTACCAATCTACACACAATCATTTATTTGGAAATCATTATTAAAAATACATATACATACAAATAATACAAGTAATACAAATACATATAAAAATAAAAACAATACAAAATTGTATATTAATATTAATATTTTTGGCTACGTCATTAGAAAATAATATAAACAATTGAAAAATATAAAGTTACAAAGCATTGTAAAATTAAATTCCATTGATAAATATTACTCCAACGCAATTTTTTCTTATTTAGTATTTGTGTTTTGTGAATATGATTATAAATCATTTCAACTGTTTAGTTGTTTTAACAACGTTTGTTGTTAAATATTTTTATAAAATATAATACCTATGCAATATAATATATACTATGAACATGGATCAAATTGATCGGTTATGTGACTATTATGTAGTTTGAAGACACTACTAATTTGGTAATTTGGTATATTTATTCGCTACCATAAACAAGATAAACTTAGTGAATAAATTAAGAGAAATTTAATTTATAAAATTGTATATTACATTAAGTACATAACAATAATTATTGGATATACAAGATATACTTAATACAAAATATACAAAAACAATTTTTTTAATCAGTAACTCTAAAGATACAATACAATAAATAAGTACCTGATAAATTTAACAAATATAAATAAAGAAATTTGCAAATTATTAAATTTAACAAATATTAATAAAAAATATGAAAATTATTAAATTTATTCAAATTTATTGTTTTCACATTCAATAAATAAAAATAAAAATAATGATAATATGAATCACAATAATAATAATAATAATAATTAATAAAAATTAGATGACTAAGTTCAAAACACTTTAATTTTACACAAATTCTTTAAACACTCAATAGCCACAAACATAAATTCCAGTATACAGAACAGTCACCTCTCAAAAGTCACAAACATAAACTCCAGTGTATTACCCAGCAGGAACAAACTCTTTAAACACTCAAAAGCCACAAACACATATTCCAGTGTATAGAACAATCCGCTTTCCAAAGCCACAAACACAAACTCCAGTGTATTACCCAGTAGAAATGTACTCTTTAAACACTTCAATACCACAAACACAAACTCCAGTATATTACCCAGCAGAAACGTACTCTATAAACACTTCAATACCACAAACACAAACTCTAGTATATTACCCAGCAGAAACGTACTCTTTAAAAATTTAAAAGCAACAAACACAAATTCCAGTGTTTAGAATAATCGGTTTTTCAAAGCCACCGACACAAACTCCAGTGTATTACCCAGTAGAAATGTACTCTTTAAATACTTCAATACCACAAACACAAACTCCAGTATATTACCCAGCAGAAACGTACTCTTTAAACACTTCAATACCACAAACACAAACTCCAGTATATTACCCAGCAGAAACGTACTCTTTAAACACTTCGATACCACAAACACAAACTCTAGTATATTATCAGCAGAAACGTACTCTTTTAAACGATCAAAAGCCACAAACATAAATTCCAGTGTATAGAACAATCGGCTTTCCAAAGCCACAAACACAATTTCTAGTGTACTACTCAGCAGAAATGTACTCTTTAAACAGTTGGATTCAGACGATTTTAATAGATTGTTGACGGTTTTGATCAACAATTCCATAATTTTAATAATTACTAAGTAATTGTTTATTTAATAGTAAATTATTCTCATTTCGGCCTTAGTTCAGATGGTCCTAGATTTGATTTAATTTTTACGAGGGCAGCCAGATTTCGATCTGTGAGTCTTATATTTTTTATTTTTGTTACCCATTCCATCACAACCTGGAGTTGGGCATGAAGAAGTTTGAAGATTTCTGAAAATATAAAACCAGGAATTAAAATTAATTATATCAGTATTACAAACAGACTACGAATCTATACATATATTATTTATTGATTTGCAATTCATGCAGAAAGTGGTTAAGTTAAAATATACTTGGGTGGTATTTTAAGAATGTAATTTATTTAATTTTCTATATGGTTTTCATAATAACTGAGAATAACTAGGAAAAAACTTAAGATAAACTGTATTTTACGAAATTTATTATTTTTAATTTTGTTGTATTTTAGTTAAAAATATTCATATAAATTTAAAATTTAGACATACAAATTATATTTGTCTTTCTTAGACATGGTGAAATTTTTAAAATATTTTAGCCATTTTTGGAATTTTTACAGAAATTTGAATTTTGCGAGTTTTTGAAGTAATTTTTTTTCGGCAGGTACTCTGTGGATAAAATTTTTAGATTAAAATGAAAACAGGCGGTTCAATTTAAGTTCTTCTTTAGGGATAAATAAAAAAAACAATTGAGTGCATGTACAATTATACGAATTTTCATATAAAATGTTGACGAAAAATATAAATATTATGGCCTTTCGAAATATGTATAGCCAAACACCGCTCAGAATTGTTTTTCGTTAGTAATATTTTATTGTTGCGTACAGATATATATTAAATTCTCATCTACGTTTACCGTGGAGAACTTATAAACACCGTCGTCTATATATTATATTGAATCGAGTTTACACAGTAAATAAACCCCATAACCTCTGTGTATTTGAAAATTGCCCTCCCCCCAGAACTAGGATATATCCGCAATTTAGTTTACACTATTGAATAATAATAATAAAAAAAAAAAACAAATATTTTACAAAAGCAATATATTACAAAAACGTAATATTTTATATTTCTTTCAACGATCATGTTGATAATATATACATTAGTATCGTACTATCGTAAATAACATTACACGCTAAAATTTTACCGAAAATCGTATAAATCATGTCATTTGAAAATATGCTAGACCGAACTTCGTCCAGAGTCATGTTTCGTTTGCAATATTACAGTTGCATACTGATATAGATCAAACGATTTTATGCATATCCTATATATTCCCAATTATTCTATGGCTGAAGAATGGGTTGTAAATCGAAACTCCCAAAAATCACATCTTTCACACTGCATTTACTATGCATGTACAAATATATTTCATTTCTCTAGCTTTATTTGGATCGTTGTAGGTATGTAAAAAGCATCAAAGCTAAAAAAAAAAACACCTTCCGTCCACAACAACATGGTGAAGTTCATATTGTAATTCAACAAAAATGTTATTACTTCAAAAAAAAAAAACCTCTAATTCTAACATAAAATATAACAACGGGCTAGATTAAAATATGAATATAATTTTAAAAAGTTGTCTTAGGATAATGAGGACAGGTGCAGCCGCTGTTATAAGTGAGAAGTTGGGAAGGTAGTAGAGGGTAAATTTAATGTATATCTGTAAGCAACGATAAACCATTGCTAACGAAAAACGATTCTGAGCGGTGTTTGGTTGATAGTGTTGATTTGTCAACAATATATATGTCATATAATGGTAAAAATAGTTACTTTTATGCATTATATATTTTCCTTAGTAATATTTGTTTAATATTGTACCTATTTTCCCATTTTTCCTGGTTTTCCCCATTTATTTGGGAAACTCCTAGAAAAATTAAAAAATGAACTCCCTAAAATACCATCCCAGTCGGATTTTCTTTTAGAGATGATGCTATCATTGTAAAATGGAGTAAAATTCCTGGTAGAAAAGATGCCCACTGAAAAAAAACTTTTTTGGGAGGCTGATAGTCTTTTTCTGTTTATTTTAAATGCTATATAAATCCCAAATCCTGATAACAGTAAATAGATTAAAACTAATTAAAATTATATTTTATACGCGAAGTTATCGTAATTAATAACAATATTAATTATTAGGTAAGCTATGTTATCATGAATTGTGTTGTACACGTACCTTTTCTCTTTATTAAATTGAGTATTATTCAGGACAATTGGCGCGTATACATGTTTCTGTTTAGTATAATTTTCTGAAAAATAGTTCTCTGAATTTCTCCAAGGGATGTCTGAAGTGTGATGATGGATGGATCTCGGTGTTCGCTGTGTTCGTACTGAAGTATTTCTCCGGGTTTGTGGCTTTTGAGTGACAACTTTTTCATACACTGGAGTTTGTATTTGTGGCATTGGGGTATTTAAAGTATACATTTCTGCTGGGTAAAAGAAAGGAGTTTGTGTTTGTGGTATTGGAGTGTTTAAAGCGTACTTTTCTGTTGGGTAATATAAAGGAGTTTGTGTTTCTGGAATTGGAGTACTTGAAGAGTACGCTTCTGTTGGGTTATACACTGGAGTTTGTGTTTGTTGCATTGGAGTGTGTAAAGAATACATTTCTGTTGGGTTATACATTGGAGTTTGTGTATGTGGCACTGGAGTATTTAAAGAGGGTAATTCTGTTGAATAATACGAAGGAGTTTGTGTTTGAGGTATTGGAGTATTTAAATACTGTGTTTCTGCTGGATAATAATAAGGAATTTGTGTTTGAGGTATCGGAGAGTTTAAAGAGTATGTTTCTGCTGGATAATACGAAGGAGTTTGTGTTTGAGGTACTGGAGAGTTTAAAGAGTATGACGTTCCTGGATAATACGAAGGAGTTTGTTGAACTGGAGTTTGATAAACGTAGGAAGTAGGATTTTGTTGCTCTTGAGTGTATGGAGTTATATCATCTATAACAAGATAATATATATTATTAATATTACAGTCATTCAATATTTTTGATTAGATGATAAGGGTTTTGTTAAATATTTTAATTTCAAACGTTTTAAATAAAAATAGAGCTGATACTGTGTATGAGTGTGTCACAATTGTAGGTTCTAAATTAGAAAGATAGGATACATAAAGTTAATAAAGTTATTTAATTTATATACGCAATGATAAACTAAAGCTAACCAAACAATTCCAAATGACGATTAGCAATAGCTACGTGTTTTTAAATGCTGTATATTTTACGATTCCCGTTAAATTTGAACTTTAAACGCTTATATAAAAAACCGGTAGATTTTATACATTTTTTATATTTTTGATCATAAGACACGTATTTAAATTATAATAAACCTTGTGTAAAATGTCAAGCATAACCAGATCAATTAATCCACATAATAAAATAAACAAAAACAAATAAAACTCGAAATCGTCAAATGAATAGTATATAAATAACTTAAAATTCATAAAATTAGAGTATCTGGGAGAGGCTAATATAAGTATTTTTCGAAAATTTCTGGTCATTACGATTATTTTTCACTAATTTACAACAAAAAAAACAAAACCGAAAATAATAAGATCGGTAATGTTGCAAACTTTTATTTTTTTCCCAATTACTAAAAAACTACACCGATTAACGAAAACGACATTTTTATGTACTAATGACTCAAATATATCTTTCTGAAATTTGAAAAAAGAATTTTGGTAAAAACAAACCTAAAAAAATCAAAAATAATGAAGCTTTTTTGCCGTAAATTTGTTAATTTGTTAATTATGTTGTCTTATGGTTTTTCCTAATTATTATGAAAACTGAAAAAAATATCAAAAAATTATCTGCTAAAACAATAACTCTGCGAAACATAAGATATCATGTCATTTTTTGATTGATGCTAAATTTAGGGAGCTATAAAGTTGTTTGCACGTAAAAAAAATAAGCACACGTTTTAGTAAAACCAATACATTCTGCGATTAAATCGGAATTTAAATTGTCATTGTGAAATTGTGAAATTACTTCACTTTTTTGTTCATAACGAAAAGCAATCTGCTTTCTTTCAAATTTTCCAACTTTTTATAGGTCTAACAAAATGTTAACAACATACATTTTTTCTTTTGTCTGTCTGTAAACAACTTTTCTACTAAAAAACTTGCTCCGAAGAATAGCACCTTTTTTGAAAATGTTCTCTAGTTAGTGCATTAGGTAGGTCATTTTTTGATTTCCCATATAGTTTTCGAAATAATTAGGAAAAATCGAAAGAATATTATAGATAAAACGGTAAATATTTACGGCACGCCACGGAGTACCGTTTTCATTGTTTTAATTATGTTAAACTTAAGTTTTCTACCAGAAATATACTTTAATTGAAAAATGACATGAGATCGATTTTTATATACAGTTACTGACGGAGAACACCGTTTTTTGGTATTTAAAGTATTTCTCATTATTATTGAGAAAAACCAAAAAAGACGAATATACCTACGAATTTTTAAAATTACAGCACAATTTTATTATTTTAAATCTTTATGGCTTATGCTTTCCACAAAAAAACATTGCTCCAATAGAACACGACAAACACCCTTTTTGTTGAATTTTTAATCTAGTTGGTAACCAAGAAAGTTAATTTTGTTTGTAGTTTTTTTAATAATTGAGAGAAAAATGTTTTTTAAAAGAAGAAAATTCTTTTAAATTTTGTTTTCGTTATGTACGTAATTTAGTTAAAAATATTCGTAAAGACTTGAAATTTTGACAAAAAACGTATATATGCTTTTTTCAAACGTGGTAAAACTTTCGAAACATTTTAATTATTTAAAGACATTTTAGTTTTTCAAATTATTTACGTAATTTTTATTTGGTACGTGCTCTGTAGATAAATTTTTAAACTTGACAGAAATACTTAAAAATTTGATACAAGGTTCATTTTATGTTGTACTTGGTGGTCCAAAAAAAAAAAATTAGTTAATGCAGTAATTTTTTTTTTTTTCTATTAGATTTTTAAATTCAAATTTTGGCAAAAATCATAAATATTATGGCCTTTAAAACATATATAACCGAACTTCGCTCCGATTCATTTTTCGTTAGCAATGGTTGTCTGCAGGTTTAAATAATTAACTTTATGTATCCAACTTGTCCACTATCTACCCACCTACAACTGTGGCCGCACCCAACTTCAGTATCAGCTCTTTTTTTTTTTTATTAATTATTGTTTTATTATACAAAGTACTACATTTATGTTGGGTATATTTTCGTTTCGCTAACAATCAGTATATTATATTATTATGTCAATTAAAAATGGGTTTTTTTTTTTTTAGTATTTCGTATCATATATTTTTCTATACTAATATATAAATTATTATTATATTGCTTGGAAAAATTGATATAGCGAATACAATTATCGCATATTATTAAATCTTATTGTATACTTTGATATTTATTATGAATTTATAGTATAATAATAAAAATATTTACTGGGCAATGGATTTTGCTGCAGTGCATTTGCCGAACTTAGTTGATTATTTCTTGTCGTCGTGCTCATCTATAAAATACATAATACATATTATTATTATTTACATTTGATATTGTATATAATAGTAGAATAGATATGCACGTTTCAAGGAACCAATGGGAATAGAAGATTTAAATAAGGGTCAAGGAAATACGTGTTGCAAAGCCTTATAACGTATCTTTCTGCGACGTCGACTAAATATTATGTAAAATAAAGTACAATAATGATTTATGTGACGAAGTGTTTTCAATGACAATGTGTTTAAATTAACTTAAATTAACTTAAACTTTAAACTTAAGTCATAAAACGTTCACCCTCCTATACTTATATTTAAAAAAAATAATTACCTGAATGTTGGGTTCCTCTAAGTAGTCGCAGTCGAAATAATATGGGAGTGCCGGTTCTGTATATGGTTCATTCCTGTATATACGATAAAGCAAATTTAGATTCGTGTTAGATTAATGTGATATTATAATGGTATATTAAGCGGTCGAGAATACATTTTAGAAACAGGTTCATGCATTTCAAGAGCAATTCTAGTGTGAACAAATAGTTACAAATTTAGATAAGCGATGTCAGATATACTAGTTTATCAACAATCGATCGCCTATAAAAATTTTAATTTCTATTCCCTCACGAATGTCCCTATTAGACTTACAGAAACTTCAAAAAATCATTGATATCTGGGTTTGACAAGTTGTTGGTGCAGTTGTTTGAATAATGTCCGGATTGTTCCATCTCTGCTACTAATATTAAAAATAAATGTAATAATTATAATTTTAGGCATTGTTGGTACTATAAGTATATTAGTTTATAATATTATAATGTAAAAAATTATAATAACTTATTTGGAAGTAAATGTACAGTATATTAATTTTCATATGTTTCAACCCCCTTTCCCACTTACACACACATTTATATTATTAATAGGAGATATAAACATTAATATTTTAAATAATTGTAATAATGAATATAAAATGGATTACTTAAAACTTTATGGCACAAATGGGATTTTTTAGTTATAGAAATACACTAGGATTACTAATAATAGTCATACTATAATTGATCATAAATTTACAAATAATGGAGATATTGGTGATATTTAACCTATTTTAGAATCATATATTATTACTGATCATTATAATAGTTTGCTAATAGATAAAGATAATATAAAAAATAATCAAAAAGTCAATAATATTAAACTGTTAAATTCTCTTTTAATTAAGGAAAAATGGGAGACAATTTTAAATGAGTCAGATGTTGATAGCTGTGTAAATTAGTTTCATAATTTATTAAATAATTATATAATTAATTCAAGTACACAAAAAGGCAAAAATACTTCATCAAATAAATATAAAATAAAGCCATAGATAACAGCTGGTTAATAACATCGATTAAAAAAGTAATAAACTTGGTAAAAGTACGAAAATTAGGCCAAATGATAATCATTTCTTAAATTATTATAAAAAATATAAAAATAAATTATGTATATTAATACGAAACGATTTGGTCATGCGAAAAGGGCCCTTAATAGAATTTTTGGTAAAAAACAATAGTTAACCGCAGATTTTTCATTTTTCATTGTTTTAACTAGGTATAATATCTAAAATCAAAAGTAATTTGTGTTATTGACACACATGTTCTATGTGAAAACTAAAAAAAAAAAAAAATCATTAAAAAATCGGTGGGAGTAGGTATCAACGATAAACGTTAAATTTTATTTTTAAATATTTGTTATGGAGTAGTTGAAATAAATTATTATTATTATTATTATTAATATAAATTTTAAAATTCTAATAATCAATAATTTGTCGGCCATAAATTTATCGTAGCGTCTGTTATGTGTGTATCTCTCGCACCCCTAACCCCTTACCTCTCCACCTATTCACGGTTCTGCGTGTAGGTACTCGCGTGCGGGGTCGTATCGCTCGTGTCTTTCGAACGTGCAGTGTGTAAAATTCGCGTTTAGCGTTATCCGGTAATTGAATGTACGAACATTAACCGCGTGCTTTGTACGCCTAAATAATAAAGTAAATATTTGTATTACAGGCGTATATTATAAATATACTTACGTTCGAAGTGTTTGTGTTTGGATACGCGGCGGAGGCGATAGACGTTCAACAGTCGTCGTCGGGCGGCAAAACGAAAAATGATAGGTCGGCGGACGAAACGCGTTTGGGCGCGCAGACGCTCGTACGGATGGACAGGGCAGACGAGGTGACTTCTCGCCCAGGCGTCCACTCCTGCCACGCCCCCAGGACGACGCGATTAGTATATGTCTGTAAATAATGCTATTGTGTTAGTAATACGTATACGTTGATGGTAATCGGAGGCATCTCCAGACCTTGTCTATGGGTGGAGGGAGGGGGCAGGGCGAAATAATTCAATTTAATATTAACGATTGATAAGAAAAAAAAAAACCAGACATGCTTCGCACAATGGGTGGACTATTGTTATAGATGTGAAGTTGGGAATGTATGATATTGAGAGAAATTTAATGTATATTTGTACCTAAGCGAATTTAAACATTGCCAACGAAATAAGATTCTGAGTAGAGCTCGGTTAATAGTGTTGCTCAGGGACGTCTTTGAATCAGTTCCATGGAGGGAGGGCAATGAACAATTTTTATTCCTGAATACCATTGCTTTGGTCAACAAAAACTTAAAACCTTTATGTCTAATGTCATTTAAACTAATTAATTGTAATTGTAATTGTGATTTAAGAAAACTTCTAGGAAAATCGTAAAACGACCTCTTTAAAATACCTTCCCGGTGGAATTTCCTTTCAAGAAAAGAATTTTATTTTGTCCCCGACCGATTCGAGTTATTGAGGTTTTCTTTAAGTAGAATTTTCGATAACTTGAATTTATTTTTTGCCCCAGACTGATACGAGTTTTCGAGTTTCCACTGTATATTTATATATATAGAACATAAATCAATCGTTTATATTACCGTATATACCGGGTACCTGTCCCGAACGGGTCTCGTAATGGTTTTTGGTGGGTTATACATACAGTACCGCCGTAGTTGCAGTATACGACTATTATAAGCCGTCACGTATAATATGGGTAGTATTATATAGGTAGTAAATTCGGTTTTAATCGCGACCCGAGTATCGCCGCGTTAACGTCTTGGCGACACCGGGTACATTATACACGTATTTTGGAGGGAAACGAAATCAAGGTCAGCCGTTTTTTTTTTTTTCTCATTTAACACGGCGCGCGGCGGGATTCATACAATGCCAGGCAGGTACTACTGCGGCGACAGAGGAGTGTCAACAGGGTACACTGCTATTATTGCCGGCTATACGGTATACTATACTCACCATCGTTGAAATAGTTTTATATTTTATACACAGCGTTTATAATAAATGGTATACAGGATGATTCATTAAGTGCGCTCATCCCATTTTTTCGGTTAAAATTTGCATTTATTAAAATTCTGATTTTTGGAATTTTTGAGTGTAGTTAAAGTCGATATTTTCGAATACTTAATTTTTCACAACATTAAAGAAGTATCCTGTGGCGATACCAACTTTGGTTTTTCAAATGAGAAGAATTTATGAAGAATTTAATACGAGCTATATTAAAAATTTCATAAATAGGTGGAGTATTGCTTAAAATTAATTTTGGTGTCGACATTTTTGATTTCCGTCAACTCGTTAATGAGATATTTTACTTTTATGTTTAAGTATGAGGAGAATAGTGGCGCACTAATAAAACGCCGCGCGTCGTGCCACCACACAAATTATACTTCGTTACTTTCCCCCTACCTAAACTTAAAAGTGAAATATCTCATCAGCGGGTTGACGGAAATCAAAAATTTTAACACCGAAATTTATTCAAAGTAAATAATCCATATATTTATGGAATTTTTAATATAGGTATAGACAGTCTAAAGCAGCCCTGCACGGGCCGTCAAAAGTGAATCTGATCCGATGCGATTGAAATTTGAAGTTAGTCCGACCCAATTCAATACGAAAACCTGAAAATCTGGCCTGAACTAATCCGAAAAGTTCAAAATTTAGCACTATTTTCCGGACGAGAACGGTCGTCTTAGGTCGGGCTATAACTCGGATTAGGTCAGGCTGACCCGGTCTATGTAGGACTGTAATAGGCTCCTTTAAAAGCCCGGAACGTACATACATGTCTGATTTGTACTTTCCAGGTTTAAACAAATATCGAAATCTGAACTGCACAAATATGGAAAATTAAGGAGATCGGAAGCGGTGATTTTCTGTCTTACACGATATGTCTTACAACATAGGCGTATAGATGTGTTCTATTTTCAACTTACCGATTAGTCAAGTGCAGAGATAAGAATTCTGAAAATGGATGTGAATGTCATCAAGTTTACTTGAAATCGACTTTCTCCAAAAATAAAAAAAAAAAATTAATGTTCTGTTTTTTCAACTACTCTTTTTTTGTTATGGATATTTTTTTGATTTAGGGGGATAAAATCAAAAATTCGGGGAATTCGATTTCAAGTAGACTTGAAGAGAAATTCAAATCCGTTTTCAGAATTCTAATCGCTTCACTAGACCAATTGGTACGTTGGAAATATAACACGTCTAACTTCTTATGTTGCATATGTGTAAGACTAAAGACAGAAAATCATCGTCTCTATTCCCCTTAAATGGTTTATCTAAGATAAGGATACTAACTAGTTTAAACGATCGATAAATATCATTTCGTTGAAACTCAGACATTTTACTTTCCACATTTGCCCATTCCAAGTTTTTACGAAAAAAAATAAAGTTATAAATATAATTTTAGGTATAGACTATGTATTGTATTGACTGTATTATGACTGTATTGTATGGGAAATATACAATACATATTAATATATTATTGTTACAATTTGCATTTAAGAAGACGCATACCGTGCCGTTTCCGGTGTATACAAACGTACGGCGCACCGCAGTGGGCCAAGAAGCGTTTAGAACTGACAAAAAGCCCCAGAAAAAAAGATAGAATTTGAATTATATTGTAACAATAGATAACTTCATATTGTTTACGTTTTTCGGTGATCGGGATCATTCGAGCTCGTGCTGTTTTAGTACTACGACCGATTACGATTAATTAAATAACGTTGCTTTTTTACACGGGTTCATATAATTCCGTAAACGAGTCAACGTAAACCATCAATAACAAGGAAATGTTTACAATTTCGTAATTGTAATTTTTTTTTTCAGTTTATAACCTAACTAATTATGAATACATTATAATAATTTTGACCGTGGAACCAATGACTTCGTATATATATGAAGTTTGACTAGCTCTAATTATTAAAATTATTTGGTTTAATAGATATATAATGTATATTTTGTGTTGTTAGTTTTAATTGAATAGATCTATTATTGAACTTAAAGACAACTGTACAACTGTACAATTATTAACTTACAATTATTAACTACAATTATTACATTAAGTATTAACTGTACAACTTAGGTGAATATTTTTTGGCATTTCAAATTTTAAATAGATATGAGTACCTATCTGAAATACTATAATTTAAAAAATAATTATAGCCCAGTCAAATAAGACGAATCATACGTTTCAGCTTGGTATACACCATTATAACGGCGTTATAAAATAGTGTGTGAACAGTCACATCGAGGTCATATACGCTTCAAAGGTAATTCAATATTAAACATTACGAAAACGCCCTTTTTGTAAATATCTCGTTGTTTTGTTTAAGGTAGTTTTTTTTTTAAAAAAAAAGAACTACATTACATTC